GAGCCGCAGGTCATGATTCTGGGCAGGGGTTATCCTTTCAAATGCACCTTTTGGGAACATCAATGGCCCCCTTCAAGTTGCCAAATGCCTTGCAGTAGTTTTCTAGGAAGTCTTTCACGCACAATCGCCCTTCCCCTGCTGCTTCTCAAGCCACCTCCCTTGGCATATTCCACGACAGTGGATATCAGGAGCTTGCCCAACTCATTTTGTGCCAGACAAACAACAACACAACCTGTTTGTGGCTGGGCCGAACAGTTGTTCTTCGCACATTGGCCTCCCCATGCCGGGAACAGCACGACGAATACCATGTTGTTGGGTGCTGGTTGCCGTTCAAGGGCAAACCACCCATTTTTTTAGGGGGTCTCTTTCCCATATTTTGGCGGGCACACCCGCCTGGAATGGGTTTCGGGGCACCAACCAACGCGGCATGACCACGGGAGCATGGTTGTAACCCTGGAGTTTTGGAGACTTGACGCCTTTTGTGGAGGATGAGCCACCCCTAACTCCTCCAACCGCCGCATTCCACACCACGCGGGGAGCGGAAGCCGACGCCTTTTGGTGAAAAAAACCACACCAAGCCGGCCCCCCCGAAAAAGAATCAGACACGCTTTTGTGTTCTTCATCAACCTTTCGGGGAGTTTTGCTTTTTTTCAGCTCAAGGTCTTCTCGCTGGTGAGCGTCCTGGTGCTGGGAGCGGTGCAGGTGTGCCCCATCGAGGCCAATGCCCCGCCCAAGGAGACGAAGTGCGCCCAGGACATTCTCACCGTGATCGGAGGTGAGGGGGGTGGGGACGGGTCGTTTGCAAGGAACACCATGAAGGAGGTTTTATTTTGTGGACTAACCCCTTTTTTGGGTTCGAAGGGAACACCAAATACCATCTTCTTCTTTTTTCCTCGGGGGGTGGGGCCGACATGCTGCTTTGATCTCAAGCTTGAGGTCTCTTAAGGCGAAGGCGAGCCTCAGCAGCGGGTGGGGAAGAGCCTTGCTGTTTTGGGCTCTGAGTGGAATCAAGCCCTGAGCATGAAAGGTATGGATAGCTTTCGTGGGTTCATTGGCATTCACAGCTGGCTCGTCTCAAGCTCACATAGGAATGAGCTTTCTATGGCCTGGCTTTCTGTGAGCTTCCCTTTTGAGAATTCCCATCGGTTCCGATCCAATCTGGTGGAGAGGCCACGGTGCCTTGTGAAAAAAGGCGCTGGCCACGAGTGAATTGGGGGTCCAACAAGGGCCTATGCGATTTGGGTTGTACCTGAATCCACGCCGGCGAAGCCGGTTGAAAGGAGGGAGCCAAGAGCTGGTCCCAATGGGCAGGTTTTATTTTTGACTCTCGGGCTGAAAAGGGGGAAATAGAGAGAGAGAGAGAGAGAGAGAGAGAGAACAATTTCTTGAGTGCTTCTGGTTGGACCCAACAACAGCACGGCTGCGGGAAAGAAATTGGGCTTCAAGGCCCAGATTCGTATCAGAGAGAGGAACATTTTCCGCAATGCAAAACACATTTGTACCCTTTGCTGTTATGTTTTCAAACGAAGCTACCAGGAGTCTCCCTCTCTCTACTTTGGGTTTCCTTTGTGTCCCGGTGCAGGCATCAGCTCTCTGATCCAGGAGGGCGCTATATTGGACCTTGAGCACCTCGGCGCGGGAAGAGCCCATGGTGTTGGGTCAAAATGTTGGAGCCGAGTACAGTTTGGCTCAAGCATTTTTTTTTGGTGTGTTGTTTTTTTTTTGGTTGGGGGGGTGTTGGCCGTTTTGGGGTGCCATGTTAACTTGGAGGGGGCTGTGCCCAAACTGAGGGACAGGGATTCGGGCAGGCGGCGTCATGTGTGGGATTGGCCTGGCGCTGCTTCTGCTCCCAGTTTCGCGTGTTTCACGCCTGGTATCACGGGCATCGCTTAAAAAACGTGCGTGTCAACCCCAGCGCGAACTTCAAATGCGTACGGAAATCCTTCCGAACGCTGTCACAAAGCCACAAGCCATATGGACTTGGATTTTGTTTTGGGGCCACACCCCGGAAAGGAAAGTAGTCTTCTCATCCCATCGTTACATTCCGTTGGAGGGAAGCCCAAGAGAATCTGTTTTTTTTTTGTTGGTAAAATCCTTCGATTGTTTTATCTTCCATCCTTGGAGGGGAATGCCAAGCTCTGCAATATGCGGAACATACTCAAAAGAATCCCGCAGCAAGCCGACCACCCTGTAGTCTGAAGGTGTGGATAAGGTCAAACCAGAGGTCTCTCCGGCATTTGGCCACACCAAGAGCCCTCCGAATGTTTTGAAGCCCTCCGAAGGTCCGAAAAACTTGTTCTCTGCCTGGATTTTTCAAAGCGTGCCTCAGGCTCCGCGAGCGGGACATATCATTGTCATTTGCTCATTTGCTCAGCTTCGCGAAGGGGCGGCGCCTGGGCGCGGGCCATGCGACTCCCACACGGGCGTTTTCAGGGTGAGTCACGCGTTGTCAGAGTTCGACCGCGGGAAACGGGCCACCGCAACTTCCATCGGAGCCCAAGCCGTGGTTCTGCCTCGGACGCAGCTAGGTGCGCTGGAAGCGGCACCCATCCGTAGCTCCGAGTCTCTCCAAAGAAGACATCAGCACCTCGCAGCCTTTCTTCCCGCCGTGCTCCATGTTCCCGCGTGTCGCCCTAGTCAAGTTTCCATCAGCTCAAGCTTGCAAACTTTTGAAGAAGATCAATCGAGGTCTTTCCACGAAAGCGCCGCGCACGCTATTGACTCATCAATGCTTCGCGGGAGAAGAAACAAAAGCCACGAAAAAGCCCTCGCGAAGGGGGTTCGAATTTCTCAGCCGCTGGGTTTAGAACGACGATTCAGGTGCAAGCCGGATGAGCACGCGGCGATCATCGACGCAGATCTGGCAGATCTGGAAGTGGCGTGAGCTCATGATCGCGGAACCTGAGAAATGGGTGTCGGAACCCTTGGGGCAAGTGCTTGAACATCATTTGGGGAGTTTCCGAAGCCCATAAGGACCTGAAGCCCTGGTTTAATCGTTGAATAAAAATCATCCCAGCTTACCACGAAAGTCGGCAAGCCACCCGTTTGGTCGTTAAAGCGTTCCCTTGGTTGCCTAGAAAACCAGGGAGATGGAATCACCGGGTGTTAGAAGCCAAATAGGAGACAGTCAGCTGAGCAATCAGCGTCTTTAAAGACATATTTTCCGGAGCCCCCGGTTTGTTGCCAGTACAACGACCTCCAGGTTTTGGTCGAATTTGGTACTCGAAGGTTCCTGGGATTGTTTAGTTTGTGTCATCCATCCTCGCAATTCGGAGGTTTGTCAAAAGGCTCCCTTTTTGGCATCCCTAGAGGGTCCATATGCCTGGCTTAGCTTCCAATTGGGGTTCGTGCCCTTGGCGTGCGCACTTGCGCCACTTTTGCCTAGAGGCTTCCATGGGGACAGCCTCTCTCGAAGTTCTGCACTTGGCAGAGCTCGAGTTGCGCCGAAAGCCGGGCGCGCTGCTTGCCGGATGGATCTGCAGATCAGACCCTTCCGATTTATGAGAAGCCGTTGAGGGGAAAAGAACCTGCGTTTCCAGCTTCTGTTGTTGGTTGTTCCACCTCCAAATTCCATGCACCCCCGAAAAGCGGCGCCGGCTTTTGGCTTGAATTTGGTGCCTGCTTGACACGCACCCGCCTTCCAAAGAACTCCCCCCCAAAGGGGGCGGGCGTTTGGTGGCTTTCTTGGCGCGGCCCGGACCCTTTTTTGGTCGCCTGGCGGCTCGCAGCTGCGACAATCGGAGAACCTCCGTTTGGGGAAAGCCCGGGGTTCAGAGAAAAATCTTGTGAGAGTCAACAAACGGGACCGAGTTTCCAAGCAGTTTTGTAGGTCAAGGGGTTAGTCCAGTTTCCACCCGAAAAGGTTGGACTAGTGTCCAACCGACCAAACCGTTTACCACAGATCTTTACCTTGGGATAGTCGAAAAAGGGTTTGGTAGGCAAAGGGGTGCTCCACCAGCTGAGTTGTAAGCCCGAACCGCCGGGTTTTCGGCTTCCCGCGCAACAATTCCCACGAAGGCGAAACGGCAACTTGGCCAGTTTCAGCCAGGAACAGGGAATACTGCAGGAAAAGGGCATCGTCATGCTGTGGATGGACAAAATCCACTTCGCACTAGTTGGGATGGATGAAACCCTGTACAGCTGATCCACAGGTGTCCTCGTTGGTAAGTTTGGTTGAAATAGTATAAGGAGCAAACCAATTGCAACAGTTTGCCCTTACAACCATGACTAAATTTGGTTCTACCCCACAACCTCATTCTAATTATTTAAGGGCCTTTTGGATGGATTCCACTGAGTTCAGATTGTTTCTAATCAATTGCCAGTATGGGTCTTTTTTCCAAAAGGACACCGAGAGTCGAAAAGGCGCTTGGATCCAGATTTTACCCACGGCGATGGTGATGCATTCGTTGTAACGGAGATCCAGAAGATCCAGTTGCCTGCCACTGCACTCAAGTCTGTTGCAAGTAATATGGGGGGGATCTTTGAGGGAAAATCGGTTGTGGTTGGCTTTCCGGGGAGACCGAAAGGGGCTATGACTGATTTGTGCAATAAACACTTTATATAATTACCCGGTTTCGCCGGTGTTCTCGGCTTGCGACGCGTGCCAACATGGTTGAGAAGGGACTTTCGGGCTACGAGGTCCCCTGAACATGGAACTCCAAAAGGTCCGACCCCCTCCCAAAATTTGGGGCTATGGGACCCCCCTTTTTCGGGGTCCCCCTTCCATCAAGACTCGGGTGAATACGATGTGGAGAGTTTCGGGGAGGGGCCGGTTCCGAGTGCCCGCAAATGTGCCTCATGCTCTTAGGGAGATCACCCGAGCCTATTTTCTGTTGATTCAAAGGCTTTGCCTAGGCACCCAGGGCCCGAACAGCTCACTTGATTTTGCTCAAAAAGAGGACCCCCCCAAAGGAGGTGCCCTCCATTCCTTGAAGCGAAACGAATCCAACAAACTCGGGCCGCGGCCGCCTGCGCTTCTGAGTGCCCGCGCTTCTCGCTAGGCTGCCGGGGCTCCCTGAGCGAGCAGCTCATGGAGCATTTCCAGCTGCGGCAAGGCGCGCGGCGCGCGTCGCGGGTCTCTGTTGCCGGTAAAACGGGGAGACAGTTTTGTTTGTTTGTTTGCACTTTCTTTTCTTTTTCAATCTGCCAAAACAAAAAGTTCTGGTGGGGTCCGGAGCAGCTCTGAGCTAGGGTTCCGGGTTCTGGCAGGTTCCATGGAGCGGTTTCTCGATAGGGTTCCGGACAGTTTTAGAAACCGCATGGAGCGGTTGCTCCGGAGGGCTTTGGAGGGTTGAGGGTTCTGGTGGGTTCCGAGGTCCCAGGAGGGTTCCGAAGGGTTCCACAAGGTCAGGTTTCATGAAGCGGTTGGCAAATGAAGTGCCAGAGAGTGATCCGTGAGGTTAGGAGTGGTTCCGGGTTCCTGAAGTGGTCTGGCTGCAGGGCAACCAGTTGAATGCTTCAGCTTGTCATTTCTCAGAGCCAGCGAGGAATGCTCGGTTCGAGTGCGGGTTAGCGGAGCTCAGGGCAGTCGGTGGCTGAAAGCCACAGGCTACGTTTATCTCTCTAAAGCCAATCTGGCTTAACTTGTTGCAACGGGATCTTTGTTTGGCCAAGTCAGTTTGGGTGAAACAGGGGGTGGCGAGCAGCTTGCGAGCTTGAATCTTGAGCTCGGAACAGGGAACCAGTCACCTTGACCTTACTTGGTTCGGATTGGTGGCTTGGAGCTTCATTCATCTCCCTTTGGTTTCACCTGTTTCACATGGCAACCGCATCTCCGGGAAAAAACATCCTGGTCTTGGTACCTAGCAACCCTGGAATTCCCCGCCTTGCGGAGAATCCCTGCAATAGCCTACAACAGCCAGCGCCACGGCCACGGCTTCACTTCGGTCCCCGGCCACCAGCCTCAGCGCACACTGCCAGGCGTCTCGCCGCAGCATTACGGGCTTGGAGTGAAGGAGGCGCGCGAGCTTTCGAGTCCTTTTCCTCCAAGCAAGGTTCAAGATCGTGCCTGAATCACTCCTCATCATTTCCATTTGTATAGATTGCTAGAAAACAGACTCATTGGTGAAACATATATATGTGTATATATATATATACGCACAGATTTCATCCGCCTAAAAAAGCCAGGAATGCTCGTCAGCGGCATTTTGTTGCTGCAGGTGTGGGAGATCCGGCCAGAGAACCACTCAGCCGGCACGGTGACCCACACAGTAGGCTGGCCCCTGGATATGATGAGCTACGGCGGGGGCTTCATCTACCACATGAAGCCCAACCTGCTCCACATAGGCAGGGCTGATTGAGCTTTGATTTTGCCACTCACTGGGACCCAAGAGTTTGATGGGATCAACCAGCCGCTGCAGAAAGGGTAGACTTGCGCAAATTGAGGGGCGATGTAAAGCCTTTTGGGGGGAATGGGGAATGAAGGAACCTAGAGGGTTTCTAGACTTCTAGGGGGTACACTCTTGCCTTGATCATGAATTCCCTCGGGGCTGGCGGCACAAGTTTCGGAAAAAAGCACACAAGTTGCCGGTGCCAAAACGTGAGGTTATAACTCATAGCAGCGGTGTCCCTTTTTGAGGCGAGAAAAACAAACAACAGGAAAGCAAAATAGAATCTCCAAGAGGTTTCCCTTTCCTTTTAAAGCCACCGCATAAAAACACATACAAACTCCAGCAAAGACAAACCACACCTAAAAGAGACTTGCTGGTGCTCAGTAGGGAATGACAGAATGATCCCTATAAACCATCCCTTAAGTGGTCTTGTTCGATAATTTAAGGGGACCAAGGGTTTGTTGCCTGATTCCTAGTTATCGCACCAGAAAATATGTCCCAGGTGGTTAAGCGTGGCCCTATAGGTCCAGCTTTCAGGTCTGGTGGTCGGCCTGGACTACTCGAATCCCTACCTGACGCTTGGTGTTTTGCTGGGGTCGTCTTGGAGTTGGGGTTGGTACCCGAAGGATTTTTTTCTTTTTCCTAGGGCTGTGTTGAATCTTCCCAGGGCTGGTCCCCTGGTTGGTTGGTTGGTCGCTCGGTTGGTCGGTCGGTCGGTCGGTCGGTCGGTCGGTTGATCGGTCGGTTGGTTGATTGGTTGGTTGGTTCCCTTTTCTGGGTTGGCTTCAAGGGAAACCAAAGGGAAGCCGCACAAAAGGGGTGCCTCAAACATTTACGGACCCAGAGTGGATGGGCAAGCTCCAGGCACCAGTTGGGATGGATGCCAAGTGAATACTGGGATATGCCACCAAGCGGTGTGAAGCAGAGTTTGTCCATCCACGATGTCCCAGACCTTGAAGGCTACCCCTCAAACCAACAAAAACACAAAGGAAGAGTCTTGTTCCAGAGACTTCTCCAAAAGCCTCTTGTCAGCTTTTGTCCTACCAGTTTTGCAGCTGAAAACAGCGCGGAGTTCTGGTCTGGATATGAGTGTGAGTGTGAGTGTGAGTGTGAGTGTGAGTGTGTGTGAGTGTGTGTGAGTGTGTGTGAGTGTGTGTGTGTGTGAGTGTGTGTGTGTGTGTGTGTGTGTGTGTGTGTGTGTGTGTGTGTGTGTGTGTGTGTGTGTGTGTTTTGAGGGTACCTTTTTTCAGGTTGTTTTCAAGCGAAGCCAACACGGAACCATCAATTTTGGGGTCCAAGTCCCTATTTTGACACCGATATCTTTGAAAAGGAGACAGGCCCCGCAGTTTTGGTCGGTTTGTCCTGGCGGCTGGGTCTTCACTAATGGATGTACGGAGTCGGGGCATCCAGAAACAGGCGGGCTGCAAACATCTCCCACAGTTTCCCTTTGCAGCTCCGCCTCTTGGTCACATATCACATGTTCGGTTCTGGGATGAGTTGTCACTCACCTGTTGTGGCAGCCTTGCCTCCTTTTCCAAGTTGACAAAGGAACCACTACAAGCAGAAGCGCACACAAGGGTCCTCAAGCCAAAGAACTATGGAGTAGTCATGATGCTGCATGTCGCTTGCTTTCTCACTTTGGCCTCGCAACCCGGTGACATGGAAAGATAGGGTTCACCCACATTGCATCATTTTGGTTTGCGTCTTAAGACAGGGATTTGGACCCCGAGACGTGATTTTTTTTCCCCATTCTGGTTCCCTTTTCGGCACGCTTCCGACGCGCGGCGCTTCGCGCCGAGGAGTCCTTACCAGGAGTTCCAGCGCTTCAAGCGCCACCCCCGGATCCAAGCGCTCCTGGAGGCCCGGGGCCGCCTGCCAGTCGGGGGGTCGGGGGCCGTCAGGTGGGAAGAGGAGGCTCTGGAAATTGCTGCTTCAACCAAATGGGAGGTTGAACGTTATTCAAGGGGACCCCAGCGAAAATGAGCCGCTGAAAATAGAGACCCTTCCGTTGTTTTTTCCATGAATTGGCGCAGATTCGTTCATCCCTCCCCCTAAATGGGATGATTTCGCTTTGTTCCCCTTTAACCAAACCTTCAACAGGGAATCTGTTGGCATGCTAAGCAACCTTTCGTTGCTGCGTTCGGATCCTGGGGTATGGGTTTCTGTTTTTTGAGGTTACCCTTTCCGATTACAGCCACCATTTCGGATGTCCAACCCCCTATTTTCACGGACAGAAAAGATTCAGGGGGCCCTTTGCAGCATTTGGGCTCTCTCTTGGCCATGCTCCAAGTGTCCATAGCACTCGGCGCAGCATTCAGCTCCCGCGTCACGGCGTCTCCAGGGCGGGAGCTGCGTGTCCTACGGCGCCCGGTGCTTGAACGAGGGCGGGCTCCAAGCGATCCCTAAGCTCACCTTCCCGGGCGGAATGCTCGCAGGCCCGAAGGGGGCGGGGGGAGGGCCGCGGGGGGGGGGGGGGGGTTGCCGGTGGATGGTTGGTCGCATTTTGGTTTGATGTATGCTTTGTTGTTTCATTTTGTTTTGTTGTCATTTGTTGTTGTTTCCAGTTTTGCTATTTTGTATTGTGTGAGCTGTTGGCTTGTTTTTGTTTTGTTGTTTCGGTTTCCGGTATCTGGTTTGAATAAGAGATGTTGATACGCGTGGTCGTGTTGTTTTGTGTGCTGTTTTCCGTTGAGTTTGGTCATTGGTTGTGTCTCTGTTTGTTGCTTTGCTGTTTGCTTTCTGCGTGTTTTTGCCGTGGTTTTGATCGATGTCGGGTATGGTTGTTGCAGGACAGGTTTTAGGGTGGCGTATAGCCTCTCTGGGCTACGGTTGCGGAAGGGTTCCGCGGTTGCTGTCGGGGATACCGCCTGGGCATAATGGTTTGCTGCTAACAGTCCACTAACTAGGGAATTGAGTTTTGAGATCTCCGGTGACGTTGTTCTTCGAATTGATTTTGAAGGGCGAAACGCCTGCTCCAAAAGAAAAGGCAAAACAGGGGTTCCGCAGACTGTCGCATCATAGCCTGTCGCCTGTTCAAAGCACCCAGCTCTGTGTTGTGTGAGATGTTGGCACGAGATGGTCAGTGGAAACAGCGAGCTTTGGGGCTGACAAGGATTCCTAATCATGTTCCGCAAAAGCAACAAGATTTCACCAAAAGGAGTTTGACCGCAGACATGGGGTGGGCAAAATGGTGACCCTGTCGAGGGTCCTGACCCCAAGACAATAGCCGTGACACCAATCAGTTTAGCAGTGAATCAGCCGGATGGAAAACCATACGCTTGGAATGTGGAGCCTGGGAAGCAAACTTAAACATATAAACCTCGCGAAGTATTTGATGTGGGGGGGTGGGGGTGCTTACTCTAAAATAGGCTGCGCAGCCATACAGACCCCTTTAGCAAATGTACGGGCAAGTGGGGTTCCCTAATGTACGGGGCCGATTTTCGTACATTAAAGGGTTTGTAGATGTGGGAACATGTGGGTATTGGATTGGTCGTTTTGGTCATGTTTTTGCCCTGAGTTTTTTGCGGCATGACGGCAGGGCCTTTTCCTGGATGCTTATTCATTCTAACACATCCAAGATGGTTTGTCGAAGAAGGATTGCTGCAGTTTGTAAAAGAGCACAAAGGATCCTTGTGCAAAAACTTCGCCGATGGGTTGCATTGGGCTTTGATTGTCTCTGACGGGCCCCAAGAAGCACAATTACTTCGCTTCGAGCAATCCCCACCCTCCACACTCACGAGCATACGACCGTTAAAAAAGATCCTCCGCATCTTAGAGACTTCGACTCCAAATTCCCATCGGCCCCTTCCCTTCCCATCGGCCACTTCCACTTGTCTGCGAGCCGATCTCGAGAACTCAAGCATCGGTTCCGTTAACAATTACTTCGCTTCGAGCAATCCCCACCCTCCACACTCACGAGCATACGACCGTTAAAAAAGATCCTCCGCATCTTAGAGACTTCGACTCCAAATTCCCATCGGCCCCTTCCCTTCCCATCGGCCACTTCCACTTGTCTGCGAGCCGATCTCGAGAACTCAAGCATCGGTTCCGTTAACAAAAAAACGCCAAGCCCCTTCCAAAAAGAAACCCGGCGGGGGATTTAACGAAGTTGCTTATTCACAACCCAATGCAACACAAAAGCATCACCCTTTCCGAGCCTCAAGGTACTCTCAAAAACACGAAGGCGCCAACATGAAATGTAAACCCAACTGTGCGCCGGGCGGGACATTAAGCAAAACCAGACTGGCGAGCTGCTCTGGCGGGATACTGGCGGGATCCACTGGCGAATGCTCGAGTCGCTCCGGCTTGATACTCAGCGGGATACTCGGCAGGATCCACTGGCGAGCTCCTCTGGGATACTCAGCGGGGTACTAGGCGGGATCCCCTGCGGACCTCGGCATCCACTCGCGAGCTACTCTGGCGGGATACTGGGCGGGATCCACTGGCGAGCTACTCTGAGAATACTTGGCGGAATCCACTGGCCAGCTGCTCTGGCGCGGCGGGACCCACTGGCGAGCTACTCTGGGATACTCAGCGGGATACTCGGCGGGATCCACTGGCGGGCTGCTCTGGTGGGATACTCGGCGGGATGCACTGGCGAGCCGCTCTCGGCGGGATGCACTGGCGGCTCTGGCGGGATACCCGGCGGGCTCCACTGGCGGGCAGCTCTGGCGGGATACTGGGCTGGATCCACTGGCCAGCTGCTCTGGCGGGATACTTGGCGGGATTGACTGGCGAGCCGCTCTGACGGGCGAGCAGCTCTGGCGGGATACTGGGCGGGATCCACTGGCGAGCAGCTCTGGCGGGATACTCGTCGGAGTCCACTGGCGAGCTGCTCTGGCGGGAGCTGCTCTGGCGGGATACTGGGTGGGGGCGTGGTGTAGAAGCATCGCAAGCGCGGATTCCAACATAAAATCTAACAACCCCTTCCTGTCGGGTGGGGAAAAAAACGCCAAGCCCCTTCCAAAAAGAAACCCGGCGGGGGATTTAACGAAGTTGCTTATTCACAACCCAATGCAACACAAAAGCATCACCCTTTCCGAGCCTCAAGGTACTCTCAAAAACACGAAGGCGCCAACATGAAATGTAAACCCAACTGTGCGCCGGGCGGGACATTAAGCAAAACCAGACTGGCGAGCTGCTCTGGCGGGATACTGGCGGGATCCACTGGCGAATGCTCGAGTCGCTCCGGCTTGATACTCAGCGGGATACTCGGCAGGATCCACTGGCGAGCTCCTCTGGGATACTCAGCGGGGTACTAGGCGGGATCCCCTGCGGACCTCGGCATCCACTCGCGAGCTACTCTGGCGGGATACTGGGCGGGATCCACTGGCGAGCTACTCTGAGAATACTTGGCGGAATCCACTGGCCAGCTGCTCTGGCGCGGCGGGACCCACTGGCGAGCTACTCTGGGATACTCAGCGGGATACTCGGCGGGATCCACTGGCGGGCTGCTCTGGTGGGATACTCGGCGGGATCCACTGGCGAGCCGCTCTCGGCGGGATGCACTGGCGGCTCTGGCGGGATACCCGGCGGGCTCCACTGGCGGGCAGCTCTGGCGGGATACTGGGCTGGATCCACTGGCCAGCTGCTCTGGCGGGATACTTGGCGGGATTGACTGGCGAGCCGCTCTGACGGGCGAGCAGCTCTGGCGGGATACTGGGCGGGATCCACTGGCGAGCAGCTCTGGCGGGATACTCGTCGGAGTCCACTGGCGAGCTGCTCTGGCGGGAGCTGCTCTGGCGGGATACTGGGTGGGGGCGTGGTGTAGAAGCATCGCAAGCGCGGATTCCAACATAAAATCTAACAACCCCTTCCTGTCGGGTGGGGAAAAAAGCAAGAGAACCTTCCAGGCCCCAACGAGGCCAAATGACGCAAAATGGGTTCGGATGGGCTTCCCCAAAACTATCGCGCGGGCAACCAAGTTCTGTCACAAACGCAAACCAAATAACGACACAGGATTTTCCTGCATGATTGGGGTTTCAGAGCCACACCATTGGGTATGAGTGGGAACAGGATTGCTTTGGAAACCTCAGTTAAGTTGCTTGGTGAGAAAAGCGACGGACTGTGCTACTCTGCGTCGCTCACCTCAGCTCAAAAGCTTGGATTGAGTGGACCGAAGTTGACATTGCATTTTCTTAAGATGCATTACTTTCAAACGTTGCTGCGCATGAGCAGCCATCGGCACGCAAACAGCAATAATTTGTTTTGGCATTTATCACATGGGCAACGCAGACGACACAGCCATTTGCATCATGGATTCATTCCGCCCGGCTTTGAGAAGCTTGGCAGGCCAGTGGGCGCCACACAGGCTTTGGGAGAAGGCTTTGGGAAGCCATTGGCGTTTGAGGGCGGCGCCTGTAAGTGCTGTGTGCTGTGAGGCTAGTTTCGCCAACAGAAGCACAATGCGCTGACATGGGCCAGCAAAAAAGTGCGTGGCAGTCAGAAATCTACCTTTGGCATTTGGACGGGTCAACAGTTTGACCGCTGCGTGTCCAACACGAAGCTGTTTCCAAAGATGCTGCACCAGATTTCTGAATCAGGGATGATCGTCCTTCCTGCATCTGGTGCTTCATCGTAGTTATATGTGTTGAGAAGCTTCCAAAAGAAGCAATTCATGGAATGTGTTGGCGAACGCCAAAGCGAAGCCACACGTGGGGCGCATTAGTGGCTTCCACGGGGAAGTGTGTGGGGCGCAAAAAGTTGCAATGGTCTGTTTGGCCAAGCTGTTAAACAGTGATGATCAAAACAGGTAAGGGCCTCCGTTCCACTCCACAGTGCTTGTGGCTGATAAAGCCGGTACTTTCACGTGCGCTTTGAAAGCTGTTTTGCCCATGTTGTTGGAGCGGTAGGAGAGCCCTTTTGAGAGAACATGCTTTTGTCAGGTCCTCAAAGGGCTACAGATTCACCACGCATGAGTTGCACCCCATTGATTGGTCGAAACTTTCTGAGGCAACAGCGGACGCGGCCTGGAGCAGCTGTGGATCTCAATTGGCGTAAAGATGCAAATGGAGCGCGCGAAATGTACAAGCGTGTGTGTTGACCTCGGTTTGACGGCTTTTTCAATCCATGCAAAAACCAAACAGAAATGTACAGGCGGTCCGGGGGGGGGGGCCCAGCCAAGACGTCTGTATGCGCAGCCTGCTTGAGATTATGGCTTGCATGTGTCCGGGGTCTCCTCCAATACTCTTTTCAGAATTGCGGGGTAGACTAAATCTCAAACAGCATCAGAAAACGATATTTTTGGGTGTGCCGCAGATGTGGGCCAAGATGTACACACATCAATCAACCCCGGGTTTTGTTGCTTTTCGTCCTTTCGGGGTAATCAACAGGGTCTCCTATGCTTCCCCTTCCTGGCAGGTTTTGAACATCAGCTTCCCGGCCCATGTGCGGTGACTTTCCCTTCGCAAGGGTGATGTAAGGGAACCCGAGAGGAAACTTAACGCAAGGGCCTGAATAATCAGAATGCAGATATCACGTTGTATATATATATATATCATGGCTTTTCCTATTATCATTTATTATTCTTATCAGTATCAGCGTCATTATTATTTATCGCATTTTTCAACTATTATTACCATTATTGCTGTTGATTCTGATTATCATTTTCATTGTTTGGCAGTTCACCCAACGACCCGGAACCAGGCTGCAGCGCCGGGTTTCTGAATGTGCCGAAGATCAAGGGCAGCCACACGGCCATGAAGCGACCCGGCCGGAGTTCTCGGATTTGAAGCCTTGGCGTTTCGGACCTCCAGCGTGCTTCTCCAAAATTCCGGTTTTCCTGGTGGCTTCCCTTGAAAACCCAACAAAAAACGGGTAGCAAAGCAACTAAACACCAATCCCTCCATTTTGGGTTTGGTTGCTCTATTTGTGGCCCTTTTTTTGCCTTCAAAATCGACGACCCAAAAAAGATGGACCCTGGTTCCCCATTTTTTCTCGGAACCTTCTCTTCAAAGGGGCCAATTCGCTGCCTGTCGAAACTCAAAAACACATCTACAGCTGCTATTTGTTGGGGGTCCCCCGATTTTGACACACACACACACATTGGCTGAGATGTTACCTTGGGCTCCACGGGAAACGCAAGGGTATGTGCTTTGACACATACGTAAATCGGTTGAAACTGGATGAGGTTTGGTCAACATTTCCAGCTTTGTCTATAGTCCTTTTGGGAGTGAAAAAAAGGACTCTCTGAGTTTCCTACACAAACCAGGAGGCCCTCTAATCGACATTTTTTTTTTTTTTTTTTTTTTTAAATAGGGTATAGCACATTTTTGACCTTGGCATAAATGAGTGTGTCTTCAAATAGGGCCCCCCCCCCCCCAAAGTGGGTGGATTCCATTTGGTTTCCTTGAGAGTGCTTTTTAAAAGGATACCAAAGAGCAACACTCTTCGCAGGGTTCCCTCAAACGAGGACAACCTCATTTACACTATTATCTTGAGGATGTCACCGCGACCCATCAAATCGGACGGTATCAAAAGGGACTTGACATATCCCCCTTGCGATTGGAGCCTTTTTCGCATTCATGAAAAAGGGGTCCCCCAATGATAGGCTCTGAATGTGCTCACATTGTGTTCGACCCTTTCTGGTTCAGTCCTTGTGCCACACATAGTTCCAGCCGGGCAAGGACTCGGAGGCTTGCTGCAGCACAGTCAACCCTTCGGGATGGTCTTGAAGGGAAACAAAAAAGGCCATCGCTGTTTTGAAACAAACCCATGTGTCAAAACCAGTTTGAGCGCCTCCACATGTGCAGGCTTTCAGGTTGAAAATTCTCCCCGAACAGTTGTCCAGCAATGGGTGGCTTGGCCACCCCCGACGAGCCCATTGCATGGGTTTGTCTCAAAATAGAGACTCCCAAGTTTACCTCTGAAAGGGAAACTGTAGACATGAATCAACCTTACGGTTCATGTAGAGCCCCAGGAGGTTATCCTAAAACACAGGAGCCACGCCAACATGGAGGTTGACCACGAGGCTGTCCGACCACAGGGTCCTGGCTCTACCCTGTTTTTCGGACTTTGGGGCACCGCTGGACCTGGTATTTGCTTAGAATCTTTGGAGCACTCCAGTGTTCTTTTGTTGGAACAGGATCGTTCCCTGGCAGAGCGCCACATATTGCAGGGGTCAACCCAGACTCTCAGTGGTGCCCTGCCTTTCCCTTTTTGGGAGGGGTTCTCTTGAACGCCAGCTGCCCAGAAAATCCGCATTTCTTTCTTTCTTTCTTTCTTTCTTTCTTTCTTTCTTTCTTTCGTCTTTCTCGTGGAAACCCATCAGGGGTTGTCAAAACCCCGCAGCCGCAGGACCGGCATGCTGGCCGGCGAGTGTGCCACCGACGCGGTGCTCGATGGCGCCGGCGACGGCTCGGAGGCCTTTTGGCGACGTGTGAGCGGTTGGGCACGGTTTTTGGGTCCTTGCAGTCGGGGAAGCCGAAGCCAAAGCCCCCCAAACAGCACCAAAGGGCCAGAGGGCCAGTTGTCTGGTTGAGTGCCCTCAGTTGGCTGCTGCTATTTGTCTTCCGGTTGATGGCCCTTAAATCGAACGCAGGCAGACAGACCCTTTTCATTGTTTCTTGGTGCGTTGTGTTTAGGCCAACTTTACATTGGAGCTTCCTCCCGGGAACGTCTTTCCGAGACTTGAGTGTCAACTTCAACCCAGTTTTGGGAAGACTGGAAGAAGCATTGGCGGGCCTTGCTTGGTTGGCTTTTGTCGGTGGTTGCTTGGCAGTTTGGATGGCTTTGTTCCACTCAGTGTCGCTTGGGATTTTGGCCTTCGGGCGGTCTGAGGAAATGAGTTCCTCAAGGAAGCCTTGCCAACGAGTTCAACAAAGTTCGTTTTTCAGGATACACCTAACAACAACCTTTGAAACGGCCAGCAAAGGTGGTTTTCAATACGGGAAATAGGGGGACACCATCAAAACGGGCGGTTTCCATTTGGTTTCCCTCGCACCCGTCCACTCCTTTTGGCCAAAACTCGTCTCCAAATTAAGGACCCCTCTTCCACGCGTCCGGCGTCGGCGCCTCTTCCGCGCGTGTCCGGCGTCGGCGCGTCCGGCGCGAGGTGTCGCGGTACGAGGAGGAGGTCCGGGGCAGCTGGGTCTGGGAGGAGCTGACGCGGGTGCGGAACTTCAAACCGGCAGCTCGGTTTTTTGAGGACAGGTCTTCGGATTCTGGGCGGCCCCTCTAAGTTTTTCGTATTTTTGTTTGGGCAGGAAAGGTCAAACACTAGCGGGTGAACTCTACCCACAAATCAAACTGTTTGCACAAATGGAGACCAAAAAAGCACCGACGCTGATTGTCAGGGGCTCCAAATACTATATTGAGATGCACCCTGCAAAGACATGTCTTAGTTGGTTTCCATTGTAGGCTATTAGGTGTCCTCGTTGAACTGCCAGGCTTTACTTGCTTTCCGTGAGCTTCCCTTTTCAGCACCGATCGCCCGGGGCTCTAAGTCTGAAACCCGTGCGGGAAGCCCTCCAAAGGCTAGGCTTGACTTGGCGTGCCTTGTGGTTGTGGTGTCTGAAACAAGTCGCTTTTGGGCATTCTGAGTTCCTTTCAGGGAATTTAAGTCAGGAGTCTGCAAACCCGATAGTCTGTCCCCTTGGTGCCCCCAAAAGACCAAACCATTGTGAAATCAAAGTTTAGGTTCCCACTTTTGATGAGTGGCGAACTCCCCGAAGTGAGAAAGTTGTTGTGGTTGGATTACCCCGAAATACCGATCAAGGGTGACATCGGGGTTTAGGTTACTTGTTACTTTCCAAAGAGAGAACGTGATTGGATATTTCGGCATAGAAAGGCATCTGGACTTGGTGGCCCCCGGCCATCCGGTTCCTTGGCTTTCTTATAAGGGTAGCTTTCCCATTCTTTCCAGGGATCCTTCTTTCTAGAAAACCACAAAAACCACCATGGGAAACAGCGATCGGTTTTCGAAAAGAACGATGGTTGAACAGAATGGACAAGGAATCAACCTCTAGATTTTTAGTTGGTTTACTAAACCAAGTAAAAATCTAGAGGTTGATTCCCCATTCTTTTGAAGCAATTTAGTGGTGGTTTCTCCGATTTTTTCACCCACGAACAGTTCTTCACTTTTCGCCGGGTCCCGATCGGATCTGGGGGCAGCCCGGAGCATCGAAGACGCTGAGGCCTGGCACTTGGGGATGATCCCGGGCCTGGGCTATGGGTCTGTGTCCCTGATGCTCAGCCGCGGCAAGGCCGGACACCTTTTTTCTTCTTCTCTTTTTTCCCCGTTTCTTTTTTTCTTTCTTTTTTTTCTTCTTCTTCTTTTTTTTGCGGGAAAAAGAAGCGAAGTGGGGGAAGCGGCTTGAGCCTTCTGCCAAAAAGGGGCTACGAGGGAAAACGGAACAACAACTGTGGAGGTCCGGAGGTCCTGCACTTCATGATTCCTTGCTTCAGGCTTTGGATAGAATGATTGTAGCCGACTCAACTTTAGACTCCCAGAGGCGGTACAGCAGCTTGGGAGTATTCGCTCAATTGCCCAGGTTTCCGCCAACTCAAGCCATGCCCGTAAAAGGAACCGATGGCACCGGTTTGATGAGAACCAGCTGATTGCAAGGGGGTGATGTCTAGTCTTTTGCTCCAAAAGGAACACCTATGGGAACACTTGAGAGTGCCTTTTTTGTTGAACCCCAAAAAAGAACGCCCGCCCAAGGTGCTTCCATAAACCTGGGAAGGTCTTCCTGTGGTGAGTGGCAAACTCCAAACCTTCTGTTGGGTGATTGCATCATCTGAGGCAAGGCAAGGCCAATGGGGGCCTGCGGGTTTGCTCGGAACTTCGGGTTTCTTGAAGTATGTGGCTTGGCTTTTCTCTTTTGGTTCGGCCCACTTTCGCCATAGCTGCGAAAGAAAGAACTTAGGGGTATACTGCAAGGTGCCACTTTTTTGGGTTTCCTCCCTTTTTCATTCCCTTTGGAACCAACCCAAACAGGGTGCTTTGAACAAGAGGCATGGTTCTGTAGCCTCGTCCGGCATCAGGAGCCGTGGACCTTCAGATGGTCCAAGAAGGATAGCACCTCGGCGCCAAAACAGCATCGCGAAGGGGCGCCATTTACAACGCCAAGAAGTGGCTGATTGGTAGAGTCGTCTTATGCGAAGATTGGGTTTGTCGCAAAGTTTCAGGACCTCCCAAGCATGTTTTCCTTTTGGCTTTTTGCAGGGGTTCCCGGCGCAAAGCCACATGTGAAGTGTTCAACGTGGCACCCCCGAGTGGTCTTTCGAAGCCTTGGAGAGCAGGGCGCCAATTTTGGAGATAAACCCATGGCTCGCGTCCGGTGATGGTCAGAGCCGAACTTGTAGCATCCAGATGCGGGAGGATAGTCCACCAGCGGCTGGCCAGATGTATGCGGCCGGTCGGCGGGCACCAGTTTTTGTCAAGAGCTTTTGGCGTGTTCGCCGAAGTTGAAAGGGTTGAATCATGGCGATGCCAACTTTCCAACGTCTTGATAGGACAAGCAACAACAGGGTGGTCCTGGCGAACATTTGCCCCGCATGAGGTACCGTCTGCCTAGCCGTGCCAATTCTGCTTAGAGATCCTTCTCTGAAAATCGGTGTTGCTCGAAACTAGGTGCCTCTAGAATGGTTGGTTTCGTTTGTATCCCCATTCCAGTGCCCTTCCACATATCCAAACAGGGGTTCAAACCCGTTTTGTCAGATAGGTCCGGGCCGCATATCTGGGCAAACTACAAGCCTCACCCATCCTTACGATTTGTTTTTAGGTAGTCCTTATTTAGGGCTGGTGGGCGTTTCGGTTGGACCACCGAAGCCTTTCTTGGGGTACCCCTATTTTGATGCATCCTTGTCCCCCCTCCCTCCCCCCCAAACAAAAAGACATCAAAAACATGGGGCCCAGTTCCCTAGTGGTTTCGCTTTGAACACGAAAATAGACCAAGGCAGTGGCCCCTTCTGTTTGCTCGTGAGGTGAGTACACCAAGCCGGCGGCGGCACCTCGGATGAGAGAAAAACATGGCGAGTTTCTTTCAGATGGGACCCCCCAAAAGTTGGGGGGGACACTCACGTTTTTTGGGAACCCCATTTGGGAGTTGGCGTGATCTTGGCCCTGTTTCTGTTCCAAGGAAGTCTGTTTTTGCCCGACGGCTGAAAGCTATGGATTTGGTCTCTGCCCAGATAGTCTTTGGGGTCCCTTTGGGAATATATCACCTGCTCTTAGTTGGGGGCATGATTTTGGTCCTGTTTTTGGGGGTCCAAAGAAGCAGACATTTGCCTTTGACCCACTGGGCCTTGGGGTGGCTACGGGCCAGCTTCAGGTTTGGGAATTGTGTAGAATCTGCAGATCTGATAAACAGAAAACCAATCCAGGTGAGAATTTTCCTACAAGAGGAATACAATATGGCTCTTGTACTCGGTATACAAGGCGTGAGGGCAGCTTCTGAAGGGAGTCTTCTCCAGCAACTTGAACGTTTGCGACCGAATTGAGCAGACAGTATCGATGGGCTTCGTACCATGCATCTTTTCTCCGACCGCATTTTGGCTAAGTGGGCTCTGAGAACTGTGGGAGCTGGCCACGATGAGTCGGCCAACAAATCTGCCCCCTCTGGACAAGGCCCTATTTGGATTACCGCGGCCACGCCAGAACGCCATTGCCAACGCTTCCGTCTTCCTGCCAATGCACTGGACCCTGGCGTGGGCCAAGCCTCGGGATGGGGACCCCGAGGAGGAGGCCGTGGCAGAGCTTGCGAAGGTGATGGCGGGCGAAGGAGGGGCTGCGGAGCTGGCCGTGTCGCACCTCGTCCACACGGCGGAGGTCTGCTTCGCCGTAGTGGACACGTCCACGGTGACGCTGCCCTACACAAGGCGCGGGGTGAGCAGCTTTGTGATTGCACTGCTCAGCCCGGGGGGTGAGGAGGCCGTGAGGCAGTGGCCCAAGCAGGCGCAGCGTGAGGAGGCCTTCATCTCGGGCACCACTGGCGGTCCAGAAGTGGTGGTGGAGGTGCAGTGGAAGGGACGATGCCAACTGAAGCTCGCAAGCAACCGGGCTGCTGCCGGCCCCAGTGATGCGGATGCTTTCCACGGCGCGCACTTCAGCTTGCAGGTGAACCCGCGTCCGAGCCGGCAGACCGAGCCCAGCGGGTCTCTTACCTTCACCTTCGCAAGCGATGCCGAGTGCAGGCAAGTGGCGGCTCTCCTTGCGGAGAGCATCAAGGCGCATCGGGCCGGACCGGAGGATCTGAGGTTGAAGGCCAGGATCCAGGCGCCGGGCAAGCCAGGACACGTGTACCTGAAGTGGGGTGCCACAAGTAGCATCGGAGCCGATGGGTTGGCGGACATCATCAGTAAACGGCTTGAGGAGCTCAAGGTTGCGGCCTAGTGCCGTGCAACCTGGTGCTTACAAGTCGTCTGCGTGAGTGCCAACTCCTATGAAGGAAAAATTGGGCCGCTTTGTGGTCAGCTCGGTGCCCATGAAGGGAGCGCTCAGGCCAGGTCAAAATCGTTCAAACATAGTCTTCTTTTGGCGGGGTACTTGAAAGGGTAGTGCCTTCAACATGTTGTGAATCATTTTCGGGTGGTCGTCTGACGCAGATGTCGCACTGGTCTCAGAGACAGAGGACCCCGCCGAACAGAGATCCATGCGGGTGTGCAGGTCGAATTTTCCTCCTGACTTGGCAAGCTTGAGACTTGAGGCTGCGGTTTCCGGCTGCATCTCAGAGGCCCAAACAGCCAATAGGCCATGGCCAGGCAAAGGGAAGGGCAAAGCGAAACGGAAGTGGGAAACGAATCTGACGAGGGGGCTAAGTTGTAAGCTGTCGCACGCTAATCGTAAGGTAAAGCTGGAATTATGCTGAGGCAAGCTTCCTTCCTGGTTTAAGAGGGTCTTTTGGTTGACACGGCTTCCGAGGGAACATGTGTTCATTGACCACCAAGCCAAACATGGTCGAGCCTCTTGCGCGTTTAGGAATGCCAAAAGATCGAGTACCCCAAGCCGGACGGGGTCTACTCCTTCGATCTGCTGGAGAACCTCGCCCGGAGCGGCCCGGCACGGGTCGAGTGCTGGGCAATCCGTTCCGGCCGCGGATCGGTGCTGAGGGCGGACACTTTTTTTTTGGGGCCGTGACACCTTTTTTGGAGTTGGCGCCCCGTACCCTTTTCCGGGTTTAAAGGGAAACCAAGGGGAAGCCACCATTCTGACCCACTTTGGTACCGTTGGGATTGGTTTTAAGGGACGCCAAAGGGAAAGGCCTCAATGTTCGGTATAGGGGAGGCAAAGGGAACACCATCATGGTGCCATTGGGGGCCCTCCAAGTGGGCCATCAAAACACCACTGCACTTCTTTCGGGTAAGTCCTTCACTCGGGTTCCTTCTGAGGGAGAAAATGGCCGTGATCCCCCTCCCCACTGAAGTTTTGACCTGGCGCGTTTGGAGTGTTTTTCTTGGAACCTTGGTGCCTTTCCGGGATGTTTTGAAGGGAGGTCCAGCATTTTCCTTCCGAGCCAGTTTATTGTCCGGTTGCGAAATAAACAATATAGAGTCGGGCAAAACGGCAAAACCATGTTCAAAACCGGAGAAGCGGAGGGGGTAGTCAAAGGGCCAGCAATGGGCATGTCAGGGAGCTTCGTGGGACTTTTATGCTTGATGTTCTCCTTCCCAAGGCTTTTTGATGGCAAAGAAGCAGCTGCGAGTTTTTGGCTGGCAGTTCCCTGTTTCTGTCCCGGGCCCTGTAAAAATCGAGAAAGTTGGGGATGTTCTATTGACAAAGAATGAAAAGCACATCACCTTTCAAAAGCTGGGGTGGCCCAAACGTGGTTCAAACCGACACCTTTGGGTCTCAACGGAGGAGTTGATGCGGTTTCCCATGGCCAGACTCCTTTCTTATCCTGGCCACTCTGGGAAGGAGGGTCGCTTGAGGTGGGGTGAATCACGAGCATGACCAGCCGGCCCATTTGAGGGTGAAGGAGGAGAGGCAGCACCGCGGCTGAGTGACACCCTCTGGAGTCCCGCCTGACATGGAACCTACAGGCTGGCTTTAGAACAACGGTCCGCACCAGGACCCATGTTGATGTCAGGTTCCATCTTAGATAAAAGAAATGCCTTTGTCGGGCTTGGACCGAGCCTTTTGAACCATTCCCAAATCTCGGGGTAGACACGTGCTTTAGTCTCCTTGGTTTTCCAGATTCGGGGCGAAGTTTGTACCTGTGCGGCAACGGAGCGGAAAGAGCAACATTTTTGGGCTGCAATGGGACCCCAGCAAAACGGAAACGAAAATGCGGAGGTCTTCTGAGGTGGACGCATTTGGTCTGTTGAAACACGCCTAGAACGCATTTCTTAGCAATTTTGTCGGGTCCACCACACCCACAGACAATTGAGTTCTGTTGGACATCGGGTGGTCCGAAAGCCCCGTTTTGGAAGGTTCAAAGGTTTCAGTTTTATGGTTCGTTTGGACAAATACAAAACCAACCGCAAGCTAGGGTTCTTTGGCTTTGTGGCTCCAAATAGCCTGAAAAGGATTGCGTATCGCTCGAGCTGGTCACTCGCCACCATTTCTTTGGGGCAACCCCTTTAAATCTCCAGAGAGTGATGTTGAGGATGCCGCTGAGAACCCAGGGTGTTGTGGGCATCCTCGGGCTTGGAAGGAGGCACAACTCACTCCCTGAGTTCCTGAAGTTTAACTTTGGAAGGCGATTGGAGTTGTAAACAAGCAGTTGCTTTTTCAGTAACACTCAGGAATTGACACAACATCTTGTAAGGTTCGGTCAACATGTCCAGTAGTCTGTGGTCCATTTCAGGTTCGGGACATGGGATTCTCGCTAAATTTTCACTGAACTGCCCATTTCCTTTAAAGCTAGGAGCAGGTTATTTTGTCAGGGGCTGACATGGTTCTACTTCCTGGTTTGATTGGTATACAAACCTTTGTTGCGTTAGAACCAAAGGTTCTGGCGCTCGGGTAACATGAGCGATGCATCATGCATGGCTGCATGCCCTTGCGAATGCGATCCATGCCTGATTATTGTTTTGATTATTGTAGGTGTTTGTTTTTCGGGTAAAACTCTAAACAGAGTAGGCACTTTTGGAGTTCCAATATTTGCACTCCATCCACTGTCGGAAAAGGAACCAAAGGATCCCCGGATTAGAAAACCCTGGGCTTGTGGGAAGCCGGATTCCTTTTGTGGGTGACACCGTGACACCCCCCAAAAAGGTACGATCGGTGTATTACTTCGGGGTTCCCATTACTATAGTCCCAATCCTTTTATAAACTTCTTCCACACTCCCTTTCAACAAGAACACGGCTTCAACCGCTACTGGTTTGACGGGTGTGTCTCGTTTTCTTCCCCAGACTGAGCTCCCCCTTCTTCCCTTTTTGCTTTTTTGGGGTCCCCTTTGTTTTCCACTAACCAGGCATTTATTATATTTTTTTGCCAGGGTCCGAATTCCAGCCTCGTTTTGGGGACCCTATCCGACCCTTCGGTCGGACTCCCTCCGGCGGTTTGGGGCGGGGCCGACGCCGCCGGATCTGAGGTCGGCGCCCCTGGAGGTGTCGCTGCCCACCTACGACGGCCCCGAGGGCCGCTTCTGCCCCGCCAAGGTCTACGAGCGCCGCGGCATCGGGGGGCAAATCGGGGGGCCGGGGCGGTTTGGAACAAATAGGTTTTTCGACCCAGTTTGGTGGGCTCTTGCGGGTTTGGGGGGGGGGGGAATTTAGGAGTCCTTGTTTTTGTCGGGCCTAGTTTTGTTGGGGCCTGGAAGCCAAAAGGTAAACTGTGTCGCAGCGAAAAGACACGTTTGGGCTTGAAAAAAGGGGTGGGGGTCCGACCGGGTTTCTGACTTTTGGAGGAAACCGGCGGATCAAACAGGGGGTAGTTTCAGGCGTTGTTCTGGGGAAGGAGGGGGTATGCTGGACACGTAAGGTTGGTTTTGACAACCTCCTTCTTAGGGCGTTGTTTTGTGGGGTGTGGGCCCACTAAGAGTCCATGTTGAGGGGGAGAGAGTTGAACAGAAGTAAATCCCTTGGAAGGGTCAACTGGCTCATGGTGCCAACGGTGTTTTTCTGTGGTGCAATGTTTGGGTGGACACGTGGCGATTTTGGCACAAGACTATTCCTGAGAGCTGTAGGAACTGGACGGAAGAACGGGGTTACCACCATGTGCATCCATGGCTGAGTTTCCGGAAGTGGCTGTGGCTCAAAACCGGTACCACAATGGAACCCTGGTAAGTGGAAACATGGACCAAAACCTGCGTAACCCCTCCTATTTCATTTTGAGCCACACCCAAGTTTGCTTGTTTGGGGCCTTTTTGTTCTCCTTCCGTGCGATCAAAGAAATGGGACTGGATGTTGGACAAACGAGGTTGAGTCTTTGATTCTCAAGCTCCTTTCTCTCCAGCTCAGGTATGTGCCGGACGAGGACAAGGGAGGCATGAAGCTGCAGATCAATGCGCAGAACTGCGTGCACTGCAAGTGTTGCTCCATCAAGACCCCGCAGGAGGGACAAGTTGGCTCCTGGGGACCGTGTACGGCCATGTTCGGTCGTGTCTTGTTTTTAGGGGACACCCCTCCAAAAAAAGACAGTCGTGTTCATACTGTATTCGTTTCCAGTTGCCCCTTCGGCCTCCCTTGTTTCGGGGGCGCACGCAACGGTTTCTTTCGAAGGTGCCTTTCGTGCCGCCTTTCTTGCTTGTGCTCAGGGAGCTGAGCCCCCAAAGAAGATACCGCTGAGTACTTGGTGTTATTCAAGCATGGTTTGTGCTCTGGGTATTTTTTCCTCGGCCCAACATGAAATCAACCGATTTTGCTCAGCAGAGACAGTAGGACCTACTTCTGGAAATGGTTTCTGAACCTTTCTGTCAGATCCCACAAAAGAACAACAAGCTAAAGGGGTTGCAATGTCTCAGCAACGCGAAGTGGGGGCTCCCAACCAAAAGGAACACCGCCATGTAATAAACACGGCCATCAACTCCCATCAACTCCCATCAACTCCCAACAACTCCCAACCAACAGGAGCACCGCCATGTTGGGTTTCCGCCCCCCTTCCAAAAACACACACACACAAACAAACACGCACCTGGTTTTCTCTTTGGGTTGGGCTGTCTCAGGAGTTCATTAACTGGACAGTGCCGGAGGGCGGCGGCGGCCCGCAATACCCGGCCATGTGAGACGTGCGGCGAGCACGCGCGGCGCTTTGAATCGCTGGTTCTTCTGGAGGTGCCCTCAATAGGCCCATCCAAAAGCTGAATCTCGTGTCCCATGGAGATCCAAAAAACGCTTTTTGGGTTTGGCAGCCTGAGCTGTGAAAATGTCAGGGAAAGGTTTGGGTGCCGCCTTATTTTGGGTGCAGAATGGCAAGTTACTGAATGGCAAGCCCATATCATGCGCGAAGCCACTTGACCTTGGCCCGTTTGTATATTCGGCAGAGCTCTAAATAGAGGACAAGTAGTCCTTCTCCCTTCTCAATCCGGCACTTCAAGCGCTGTGCGCTGCTCATTTTCTCAGGAGGTTATGGGTGAGGAGTACGAAGTCTGGGCGATTTGGTCGGCCCGGGACCCAATAAATCCCCAAACGGTCTCATAGGATCCGGTTCGGAACCGGTTTTTTCTTCAAGACAACATCTGGGAAGGACCCAGGGTTCCGAAGCCAAAAGCCACAGCCCGAAAGTGCGTTGTTTTTTTTTGAGGAAGGGCAGCCAACATGGGCATTCACAGCAGCCAGGAATCTTGGGGCGCACCATCCGTCCGTTATAGGGCCCCTAACAACCACTAGAGCATAGGGCAGTTGGCTTTGCCACGCTCGAGCTCGAGCCGCGCCAGTTGGGCCGGTTTGCGCTTCGTTTGAAACGGCAACTCGGGCCCAAGGTCCGACGGGCGGAGGTAGAAGATTCTAGAACTTCCCTTTCCCTTCAACCATCCCTCAGCCAACCGTTTCCCCTGCTCTTTGAGTCTTTTTGTGTTCAGATACAGTTGGAAGTTACCCCTAAGCTGAACGCTCTGCTTCCGGCTCGGCTGTGTCCGGGCCCCACTTGGGGCGCGCAATGTGCGGAGTAGCACGCCGAGCCGATGGCAAGGGAAAAGGAGCGGCGAGGTGTTGATCGCCGCTGATCGCTGCCGCTGAGTGCTAAAGCAAATCCCAGCCATTACCATATATATATATATATACACATACATACATAGCTATGTCCTACCTTTGGCTGTGAATTATGACGGGACCCCCCCTGAAGAGTGGCTGGTGGACATAAATCCCTTGACCCTTGAGCAGCAGAATTCGGGAAATCAGATTTTTCGGCGTGCCCTAAACACAGCCCCGTTGCTTTTTGAAGAACGTGAGCCAAGTGCCGATCGCCTACTTTGTTGCATTATTTTTTTGATCACTTGCGATCCTAAGGGGCGTTGCGACACAAGGAGCCCTGATTTCTCGGGCGAATTCGTGATGCTCCAAACGGGTTTCGTTCTAAGCGCATCGCAAAACAACCAACCTAGGCCCCAAAGTAACATGGAAGCCAAAACCGGGGTACCCCGAAGTTGATTCCTGCACTTTGCATTCGGCTTCGACTCGTAAAACTGCAGATGAAAGAGACACATTTTTCACTTCCTGCATCCAAGATCCGCTCCAGCCAACAGTCGACGAAGAACGCGTGGACCCACCGCTCAGCTTTTTCGGAAAGAACCCCACCACGGGATGTTGACCCTTTTTGTTAACATACATGTTCCCTTACGGATCAAACATGGCATTTTTGTGGCCACAGTTGTGGGACATTGGGTTTCAGGCTGCCACTTTGTGCGCGATTTCTTGGTGAAGTCCCAAAATAGAAAGTAGTCATATGGGCAGAAAATCCGGTTTCACAGAAAGCCTATTGTTCATAGCGATGCTCATATTGTGCTTTAATCGCAGACTCACATGGAATCCAAGAAGCCACAATAGGGGCTAAGTAATTGCTCCGAGTTCCTAATGTCGAGACGAAATCCATTTCGCGCCACCTAAGAAATCATGGAATGATTGGATTCCTCTGTAAATACTCACTTCCTTGAGTTTCTGGACTTTAGTCACTTTTTGGGTTTGGACCACTTGAGTGGTAAATAAAGAACCGCTGGGACTTCTTTTTTTTGCCGATCCATTCAACGTGCGAATGGAGTTCCATCCATGCCAGGGGTTTTCCTTTAAGATTACCCTTTCCATCCTAAGTTGGGGGTCCCCAACTTGACACCCCGAACTCCAGGAAAAAAACCGCGCCAAGAGCAATGGCTTGCTCACTGGTGCAGGGAATGACCGAGTCCGGGTGGTTGAACGAACCGAATTGTTTTTGGGCATTCCCAGGAAGGAAACCACCAGTATGGTTTTGGTCGGTGTCATTCCAATTCTCATTCCCTGCCTATTGACCCAGCTAGTTTGCAGCTTGCCTTCAGTTGGTGGTTTGGATTAATGGTTTTGGTGGTGTTCTGGAGGTTCCCATCCTTCAGCAAGTTCGGGGTAAAAAAATCGAAGTTCCAATCCACACCACCAACTAGGCTGGTTCTCAGCAGAATGAGGGAATGACCCCCATGGTTCCCATCCCTTGTGCTTTCCTAGGGGATCCCTTGGTTCATTCCCACCAAGCCAAGCCAACGAGCAGGGCTTACGATTTCTCAAATGTCAAATGAGGCGAGCTCTACCTGAGCCTTCCTGGTGGGCTCGGGGTCATCGTGGACAAGGAGCTTGAGGCGGGCCTCAGCGGGGGATGGCGTCTGTTGCGCCGTTGAGCATTCTGAACCTGTCTTTCTTTGAGAGTACTCGTGTTTTTTTGATGGGTTTGACGGAAAACCAAGGGAAGAACACCATTTTGGGGGCTCCAGTAAAAAAGAAGGGACACACCCGATTTGGGGCGTTCGTGACGTTTCCTTGGTGAAGTACACGTGCCCAGAAAGTCCTTTGACACGTGAAGGCCGACGGGCCAGTTGAAAAGGACAGAGATTTGCAAGTCAAGCTGGGCAAAACGTGTGGAACCCTTATTTCCATCTGTTTTTGGGAGGGAACTGGCAACAACATGATAGATGTTATGGGCTCCTGGCCTTCATGCTTTTCGGGGGAAACCTATTCAACAGGCATATTTTAGTTTCAAACGAAACAAGTTTGGAGTTTTTTAAGCCCACATCTTAGTACTAAAACACACACCACTCAGCAACCAGACATGTGTGTCTGTGTGTCTGTGTGTCTGTGTGTGTGTGTGTGCGTATGTGTGTGTGTGTGTGAGTGTGTGTGTGTTGGTGTGTGTGTGTGTGTGTTGGTGTTGGTGTTTGTGTTTGTGTTTGCGTTTGTGTTTGTGTTTGTGTGTGTGTGTGTGTGTCTCAGTGTGTCTTGTTTCTTTTTTTGTGCGTGTCTCTCTCTCTCTCTCTCTGTGTTTTGTTTTGTGCTCAGTCTTTTTTTTGGGTGCTTTTTGTGATTTGTTTTGTTTAGTATTGTTTTTTTTGTTGGTGCGTGTCTGTGTGTGTCTCTCTTCGTGTCTGGGGTTTGACCCCTTCTCCACACCGCCCGGGCCACGCGAGGCCTACGAGCGCGGGCTCAGGCAGCAAGAGCGGCTGGCCGCCCAGGAGCGTTCAACCGGTGATGTTTTGTCCGGTTCAACTGTGTAACCCAGCCATGTTTTTATAGATTTTAGATCTGTTTGGCAATCTTTTTGTAGGTTTTAGATCTGTTTAGCCATGTTTTTATAGGTTTTAGATCTGTTTGGTTGGCTTGGTTGGGTGTCCGAATGTAACCCACTTAGTGGGTTATTCAGGGTCCTGTTTCAATGCTGCCATGCTCGTGCTCAGCTGGACTATGTATTCTGACACCATGGCCTTCTCACCAGCATGAAATTGAGGGTGGAGTACGGTGAATCAAGACTGGTGGAGTTGGACGCGTGAATGAATTGCATGCTCCCCCGGCTCAGACAACCACTGATGTTGACTTTCGGCAGATTTCGGGACTGGTTGTTCAACCTCGAGCTCGTTTCCCCTGCTTTAACCAGTGTCACTTTTTGCGAGTCAGTTTGACCACCTGATATTTGGAACGAGAGTGAGATCTAGATCTCAGCTTTCTGGATCAGAGACGTGTTTTTTTTTTTTGTTTAAATGTATATGATTGGCATTATTTTTTCTAAATGTGCTTCGTGTTCATTCTCCCAAATATATTTGTTGGATGTTGGATTTGGGTTTTGATTTAAACGCCCTACATTAGTTTCCTGGATTGCAATAAAGAAAGCATGCATATCCACCTCCCAAAGCGAGCCCACCTTTGACCTTTTTGAGTTTTCTTTTTTTGGTCACGGAGAGGTGATCATTTTTTATTCCGCCGGGGCAGCTGAGATGCGTCACGTGAGAGGACCCGCGGCGTGCAAGTTTGATGCAGCTGGCGGAGGGTCAGCGATACCCCACCACTTTCAGCGCGGGAGCCCAGCGAGTGAGTCGCCGGTGGCAGGGTGGGGGGTGGGGTGGGGTCGCCTCAGATACGCTATGTCGTCGTTTCTTTTTTGTTCTTTCGGGGGGGGGAAACAAGCCCATTTGGAGCCTCGGCACTCCTCAGGTCCTGAGGTCGAATATTCTCCAGGGAGATGAATGCCACGGGCGCAAAAAGCTTCGCCAAACAACTCCAGTGATTTTTCAATAACGTCAACGTGGGGATCCTCAGCAACGAGCCGCCGAACAAACCAGAAAAAGGCCTTTGGATGTTCAGCAATTTCTGGTGCGTTTGGCTGTTGGTAGCGTTTGAGGGTTCTCTGAGTGGGAATCGGACAAATGGCGGTTTCCTTGCGGAGCCTCTTAAAATCCATCCAAATCATCCACCTTTTGAGGAACCCTTTGGTTGTTTGGAACTGGATGGCCAATGATCAAGTGACACCAAGTGGAGGCAACTCTTCATTGTGCGTTTGGCTTATTTTTTTCTTCTTCCTCAGCTACCTGCTGGACAGGGACATGGAATCACTGGGATGGTCACTGCTGACAGCCCGCTTGGGGTATCATAAGCCGATTCTACCAATTCAGCCAGGCTGGCTTTACGAGAAGCCGCAGTGCTTGGACTACGTCCACCACCAGGCGGGTCACCCTTGCAGGTGTGTTTGTGTGTCTGTGGGATTTGTTTTGCTGGGTTGTTTAAGATCAGGAATCTGCACTACTATAGCAAACCTGCATACTTGTCACGGCCTTCTTGCCCACATCTTCCCCGCCGATTACTAGCCGCAAGAGACATATTATGGTGGTGTGTTGATTTGGCAAGTCAGTTTGTGTGCTAGTGTTTGACAGGGGCACCAAGAACAACCGCGGCTGTTTTTAGGGGTTCCCCCATTTCAAGACAACCTCCAGCCTTGGCAGGAGAATCGTTGTGCAGCAGAAGTTCAACCTGAATATGTCTATGTATCCAGAACATGCCCAACTGTTGATTCCCCTCCAAAAAAACAACTGCCAAACAGCCGAATGGGGTTGGGGACAACAAAGAAGCACACGCCAACCCTGAACCAATACCAAATCAACCCTAAACTCACCCCAAAACGAACCTAAACCGACCCTAACCGAATACCAACTCTACACCGATCTCCAGGGCACCTGCGGGTGTTGCTACATGTTCGCGGCCCTGGACTCCTTGTCGGACCGGCACTGCATCGACACCACCAAGGCCATCGATTCGATGCGCTCCCGAATGGGGCTTGGGACGGAATCGAAGCTTTGCTCGCTGGATTTCGTGTGTGTTTTGCGCGTGAATTTCGGGGGAACATCTTTGTCCCGTTAATCCAAGGATGTTGCCAGCCCTAAGATCAACCAGACCTGGCAAAAAGAAACAGACCTCGTAAAACAAACAACACACACACACACACACACCTACCTTCCATCCAACCAGGATAGAATTGAACCTTTGCATGGACATTCTTACATGGGGATTTGTGTCCACCAACCATTGTGCATGGTATTCAGAGTGTCAAAGATAAACTAATCGTTTCAGGGCGCTTCCCAAAAATAGGGGGCGACCCAAAAAATACACGACACACACAAGTTTTCCCTTTGACTTCCCTTACAGCCAACCCCTAAGAGAAAGAGGGTATTATGCGTAGTGAACACATACCCGGGTCGGAACTGGGGCATGTTTGTTGGTGGACAGAACTAACTCGGGTTGGCAAGACACGTTTTGATGTTGAGTGCTTAAAAGCCAAGAGGCAGAAGTCTAGAGACAGTCCAAGCAATGGTGGGGGTCCACAGCCCTCGATTCAATGACATCTGAGTATGAACTTGATTGGGGAGCGCCCTCAGGAATGTTATTCCGCGTTTTGATGTGCATTGCGGGTCACCAGTTTGAAATTTATGCCCAACTGACGAAGTTACTTTTTTTTCGGACCTCCGCCAGCGCTTGATCCAAACCAGCAGTTGATTGGCCAGCTTGTTTAGCTGGGAATCCAGCGACTTTGTAAGGTCCCCTTTTGTATTTCCACCCATTGTTTGTGGAGAAGTTGACACCACCTGTTTTCCAGGGTATTCCAGGTTTGTAATCCATGGACCCTGTAAGGCAACTTGCATTCCTTTTTCAACCACCTGTTTTTCCCAGGGTTAACTTTTTGCTAGACGTGCAGAGTCACACCCTTGAGTCGAGGGGCCCCTGAAACACACCCCCTCTAAGAGTTGATTGGGGGTGTTTGTCTTTTTCAAGCATCCTTTTAGGGGCTTGAAAACCCAAATTTTATCAGACTTGGAGGTGTTTCAACTTGACCTTTTGACGAACATTGGGATCGGTGTGTTTGGGGTGGAGAAGTGAGGTCCCAGAACCAAAACAGATCAAGCCTTGTCTTCCCTTCAGGCTCGAAGCCTTCCCTTTAGACTGGGCAGCCCCAAAAAAGTCGCATCTAGAGCTGCTCGGAGCCTTTCAGAGGGTTTCTCGGCAGCTAGGATTTCGACCCTTCGCGGCGTTTTTTTGGGCACGAAAAGGGCAACCCTTCCCCATGCGCTCGGCCCGGGTTGCGGTTTGGGCGCAAAACGGATGAGGCCTCCAGCCTCGGTGTGGTGGAGCACCTCTCGGTGCAGATGGCCTTGCTTTGCGAGCCCCTAGGCGGGTTCCGAGTCAAAACCTGAGGAGAAGATCTACATGGTAATACTAGTCTTCACTGTTCTTGGCATGCTTTTTGTTTTTGGTTCTGTACATTTTTACTCGTGCCAAGAGTTGAAGAGTAATGAGAAAGATGGTGTGATGATGTTGCCATTGATAGTGCTGCTACTACCAGGACTACGACGACGACGACTACTAATACTACTACTACGACTACGACGACTACGACTACCACTTCTACTACTCCTACTACTACCACTACTACTACTACTACTACCACTACTACTTTCCGCTTCTAGTAGTACTACTACTAGTGCTACTACTACTACTACTACTACTACTGCTGCTGCTGCTGCTACTACTACTACTACTGCTATCATTGTACACATATATATATATATACATGCTACCCCCAAAGGATCCAGGCTTTAGTGCCTTTTGGGGATGATAAATCTAGAATCTCGAGATTTCAATGCTCCGGGCTCGGGAGGGCCTGGAAAGCCGCTGGAAACCACCAACAGAGGGCGCCGCAGAGGGCATCAAACGAAGCATGCGTCAGCCGCACAAAGCATGCGGAGGGCTGGGCATGTTAACAAGTCTTGAACTTGTTCAGTTGCTAAAGGTTTTTGTTTGTGTTGTTTTTTGTGTTTTCCTAGAACTGGGCGAAATGGTGGACAAAATTCGGTGAACATTCATGTCAACCAATCACTTTGAGGTGGCTCCTACTTATTGAACTTCATTGCCAGACAGTTTGGGAGTCGTGGGCTGCTCGAAGCCGGCAAGTCACGCCCCAAAAAACCCGTGTAGCAATCTCTCTCATGGGTCAACTTGCGCGCAGTCATCCAAATAGGGCCCCCAGTTTTCGGACATGTATTTGCTTCCACAAGCATCATCGTTCGTTTGCCGGGCGCATTTTTTGCATATCGATTTTGTGCAGAGAGGCATGTGGCAAACATGGCTTACACATCCCATATTCCGCAACCAAGTACCTTGGTCAACATGCACTTTGGGTTTTACATAGCAAGAAGAAAGCCATAGCGGCAAATAATCACAGTAAACATGAGCCTCCAATATCAATAGCTTATTAATTGGGGCGTGCCAGAGCCGAGCGGAAAGGAGTGATGACATTGAACTTTGCACGGGGCTGGGATTGTCAAGCAGATGGGGCCTTCCTATGTTTGAAAGGGCTCGCGCCAATCTATCATTAGGAAAGGATTACTTGTGAAATTGCGGTGTCAGTCGCTCTTAGGCAATATTTTAGATGCACCAACCGTGGATTCCTCGGATTCCAGCTCGTTTAGCTCTTGCCAATATGGCCATGGGTCAAAAACATCCGTACAGTGACCATCCCAATCCCCACTAGGCTAAAATGGGTGGCGCACCTACCCCAAAATGGTACCAAAACGGTTTTGATCCACAGCCATAGGAGGCATCAAAGATGTCCCTCCGGATCCCTCAATACAGGCCGGCAGTGCGCCGGCGGCTGGGCAGATGTGGGCTTCAACTACACCGTGTGCGACGGCCTGGGACATTTTCGGTTGGAAGAGGAGCTTGCAATACTTCCCTGCAAATTCACATATGTGCCATGGTCAAAAGACACCTTTACTTGGGGTTAACTGGGATGACCATCTAAGTTCTAGTAGGGATCCTTGATAACCATAATGAATCATGATGATTCCTATGAATGGAACCATGACCACAGGCCATACAATGAGTTTTGACCATGGCACATATGGTCAAAGCTCCCTTTTGCTTGGGCACTAGGGAATGTCGTTAGATCACAAAGAAAAGGGAACCAACCCAGCATATGTTGTTGGGCTTTTTTTGCAATGAATGGAAAGGAGCCCGCTGCTAGAGAACTTCGTTCTCCTCCTGTTTGCTTCGGGCAGGAATGGTTAACCAATCCCAACAAGGTACCCTCCAAAGAAACGGGAGGTGGTTTGTTTCGGTTTCCCTAACCATGCAACAAGTTCAAATAGGGGTTCTGGCTGTTCCCTTCTTTTTCAAGGAAACGCCTAAAGGCACTATAGACTCCGAACAAGATGGGTTTCCATTTGCTTTTCAGGTGGGTTTCCCCTATTCGGCGACAGACCCATTGGCTCATTCGGAGAGCGAGGTACTAACCTGTCCCCTGGCTCTTAGTTTCGAGCCACACCCAGGTTTGATGTTTGGACATTCATCCCACCTAACTGATATCCACCTCCCCTTTCTTGCAAAGACCCATTGGCTCTTTTTTCAGGGGTCATTATTTTGACGGTTTCTGCGGGTTATCAAAGCCAGAAATGGGGTTTGTTTCCCTTTAACCCACCACTTAGGGGCTGACTTTTCCTCTTCTTCTCCGCGGAGGTACCACGGGCTCCAACCCGCCTCCCTGTGGCCCTACGAGCGCAGCTGCCTCTCCGACTCCGAGTGTCAGTTCGGCAAGCAGTGCACGGACCCACAGCTCGGGGGGCGGGCCCCGGTGGTTGTTTCCGCCCTTTTCTGTGTTCCTTTGCTGTTCATTTGGCTTTGCCGACTTTCTGTGTTCCGTTTGGTTTTTTGTTGTAGGTTGTTTTGGCGTTTTTTTGGAGCTTTGTCTTGCTTGTCAGTTGTTTGCTGGTTTTCTTTTTTGCTTGTCGGCTTTTGCTTTATTCCTACTCTTCCTGCTTTTTGTGATTGTTTCATTTCCGCCGGTTGATGGCAGAAAGCAGGGCTTGAGGACCCAAATATGATTTGTTGATTGGCCAACAGCATGGCGCTGCAGGTTGATGCCCCCGTTCGAGCCAGTGATCCCCCCCGCTTTTGGTTCAAGTTGGCCCTTTCTACAAACCCTAGGGGCTTCCAATGAATGGCCAGGTTTTCGGTACTCCCATGAGCCGTTTCCCGAGGTAGCTCGTTTTTCCCTGCCAAGTTTTGAGGTGAGCTTCTTTTTGGCTTGCAAGCATATCCTTGCTCCCACGTTGCTATGGCAGCTGTGGGAGGGTACCTGGAAGATCAGTTTCCTCTTGGAGGGACCTCTTGTGAGATGCCATGGTAGTAGGAGAGAGGGCAACAGCCTGCTTCTTGGACATAACCTCCGTGGACATCGGATTTGAGTTTGCCAGGCCCGTTTGGTGTTCCAACCTTTCCAAGATTCCGAGCCACGCACGTAATAGCTCATGTTAACAGACAAACACATATATTGCAGCAGCCCAATTGCAATATGACACAGGTTATGTTATGTCCTACCATATCACAAGCGCATATATTGCAACAACTCACCTACAATAATGACACACATCATACCCCAACGTATCCTGCATCCTGCCCTCGTTTTGCATGGAGCGGCTTTTGGCTCGCAAAGGGTCCGGCCGATTTTTGCTCCATCGATCCGCTTCGGAGGCTTTTCGCCCTCCAGCTACGCGTGCCCGGGCTTCTTCGCCCAGGATGGGCAGGGGGGGACAGGGCGATGCTTTTCGGGTTGGCTTTCATCCGCCCGGCCCAGGTGAGCCGCGTCCTCAAACCCCGGGTAGATGAAGGTTAAGGGACATAAATAGCTGCGGATCGCCGTCTTCTTCATTCCTGAAGCATGGTTCTGGGATTACGACCATTTTAGTAACCGGGTTTTGATGACTCAGGCCGGGAGTTTCCTCGAAAACGTGAAAGCCGCTCCCTAAGGACACTTCGGCGCTTGGCGTTAGGCACCTTGGTGTGGAAAGGCAGTTTTCCGAGGTGAGACCACGCCAACTCACCTCGTGGATCAGCCTTCTTGTAGCACATGAGAGAGAATTGACCCACATGCCATCATACATGTACGCACTCGCAGTATGGGTGGACTTGATTTCTTTCATCTGCGCCACGTCTTGCCACTTACAAACTCACAACATGAGTCGAGTTATCTCTATTTCTTATTGTCCAACACATGTTTTAAAAACAACAAACTAAAACACATAGCAATTTGCATTTCTTTGAGGACGCCGTGGGTTTGGGTTCCCCCGTTTCGCACTTTGGGCTGTTCAGGACGAGCTGGACGAGGTCTCCACCTTCAGCGATGCCCTGCGCGCAGGGCACCCCAGGGTTACGGCACGCGCCAAGTCTCAGAAGACGGAGACTTGGGCCCCCAGTGCTGGGGAATCTGCGGAGAGAGAGAGACTTGGCTTCACTGGCACTTTGAAGGAAGGTCCCCCAACTAGGTGCCCTTTCTCACCCAGCTATTCTGGTTGGGAGGGTTCCCCTAGTAAAATAGACTACAGAAAAAAGGGTAGCCGTATTCTAACCTCCCTACTGGAGGACCTAGGATGGAACACATGATTTAGCCGTTGGTTCAGGCTTGCCGACTTGTGTGTTGGATTTGGATTCGAACCCCTAGTTCTTGGTGTAAATGGGAAACCACCCCACAACGCCACCAAACCGCCGGGAGAGTGAGTAAGGATCGGTTTGGCGTTTGGCCGCACTTTTCAGTGACTTGGCTCCAAATGCACTTTTCTTACTCGGCAAGTGGGTGCAAAAACCAATGCGGAGTTTTTTTCTATGGCACACCGGATCAAAATGTCGGGGTTGGAGCAAACTCCTTTTTGTGCATCAACTTTAAATGGCGATCCAAAAAGAACCGGCCTCATTTCAAAATTCGATCCCCTAATCGGATTGTTCGTATTTTTTTGATAAAAAAAAGACAAGGAAGCTCATCGGGCTTTCGGATGTATCCTTCAAAGAGCCCCCGGAAAAATTCGGTCGAACCGCTGGAGCCTCGCCCTCGAACTCGGCTGGCCGAAGGCCTTTGAGCCTTCGATCTTTCGATCTTTCGATCGGAGAGGTGGCGAAGTCCAAGTGCGAAAGCTCGAACCTCGAGGACCCCGACAACTGCAAGGCGACGTCTGCCGGGTTGGGTGGGAATCACAAGGGGGTTATGTATCCCAAGCTCTGTGATAGAAGGGAGCTTTCTTTTTAAATGCCGGGGTGGTCTTTGGGGGACCTTCTTCTTGTATCACAGAAGTGGGCATTTCCCACAGCCCTGGCCGGGCGAGTTGAACTCCAGAGCGGAGTTTTGGTGTTTGTTTGACCGAGGATTTCAGTGACGTTGGCCCTTGCCTTTTGGAAGACCTTATGGGTTGACCAAAGGCACCGGCCGAACGTAGCGGCTCGAGTTTCCCTCTTGCGTGAGGCGGAGTCATGTGGGTGTGGCTCAAAATTCAAGAGCTAGGGTTACGCAGGTTTTAGTCTTTGGTTCCGTTTACCAAGGAGCCATTTTGGCCACAGCCACAGCCACAGCCACAGCCACAGCCATGTGTTGGACCTCTCGTGTTCCGGGCCCCGAATTCTTGCGCGCGCGATGCGAACTTTTCGTCGGTCAGGTCTGGGCCGAGACGATGTTCGCCTACTCGCCCACCATGGTCTTCATGCCGGCTCGGGGCCCCGGTTGAGATGAAATCCGAGGGCGTGTTTTTGTTTTGTTTGTTGGAGGGGGGCGGTCGAAAAGGGCAAAGGGCACATAGGGAGGGACTTTTTGTGGGTGCATAGGAAAAGACGTGAAGGGGGAGAACAATTTCATTCGAGAGAAATCTCAAAAAATGTGATTGGGCGGTCGCAAAAAGCCGCTGTCGCGATGCATCATTTTTACTAGTGCTGGGGGGGGGGGGGAATGCCATGCACACTTAAACATCCAAGAGCCCTCAAAACAACAAACCCTTAAACCAGGTGGCCGCGCAAAACGGACCCCAATTGTCCATCATACAGGCGTGTGTGTGTGTGGCGTGCGTGTGCGTGTGCGTGTGCGTGTGCGTGCATGCGTGCGTTCGTGTGTGTGTGTGTGTGTGTGGGTGTGCTCCCTGCGGGGCGTTTCCTTTGTTGCTGTTTGGCCTTGTCCCAGCCATTTTTCTTCTTTTGTTTGGTTTCTTTGTTGCTTGTTTGGTTGATGCTGCTTCTTTCTTTGTTCCTTCCTTCCTTCCTTCGTTCCTTTTCTTTCTTTCTTTCTTTCTTTCTTTCTTTCTTTCTCCATTTCTTCTTTCTTTCTTTCTTTCTTCATTCGTTCGTTCGTTTGCTTCCTTCCTTGCTTGCTCTTCCGCTTTCTCGCCCCGCTCTCTTTTCGGCCGCCAGGAGACCTGCTTCTGTGCGGAGCTGGAAGACGACTGGGCCAAGCCCCGGGCCCAGCGGAAAAGAGAAACCTCGAGAAGGGAGGAGCCCCGCGGACAGGGAATTGTCCACGTAAAAATAAATAAAGCGTGCCATTTTTTTTTTTTGAAACAAACAAAAACACAGATTCATTCCGTGTCAATTTGGCTTTTGAAACAGATTCATTCGTGTACGTTAACTTGTCCACAATTTTTGTTTTTGAAAATAAGAGAAGAAACAAGTTCGTGTAACAAGAGCCTCGGCCACCGACCATATCTCTTTCTCTTTTCTTTTTTTCATAGGGGAGACATGGGGACTTTACTCATGTAGTTTGGCCATGGGTGCTGTTTGTTTTGATGCAGAAAGAGACTTCCAAAATGGTTTGGTGGATGCAGATAATGTGAATGATGTCCACTAAGGGATCCCCCTATTGAATTTCGTGCACAGCTAGCCGTACCCTGAAAAGTTGTAAGGGAAGCCAAAAGCAGGTTACCATGGTCGAAACAAGTTTAAACAGTTGCCTGGCCCGGATGAATTGCACACATACACTATTCTCGTAGAATCATGGCTTAATTGGGTTGTAAAGAAATCCAATGATTTGGGCCCCAGTGCCCCAAAGTTTGAGAGGAAAGCCCAATTTGGCTTTGAGACATCCCCAGCGTGGGGGCGCCCCCGCGAATTTGGGTCTCCCACGTCCGAGGTTCACGCGAAAGGACTCCGAGCCGCCTTGCGACCGGAGCCGGGAACCGAGTCAGCCGGTTCACAGGTCGCTGTTTGGAAAGGCCGCTGTAGATGAGTTTCCTCTTTTTATGCCTCTTGGTTTTTATGGTTTTGTTGATTTTTGCCGGGGCTGGAAAAAACAAGGTCTTTTGCTGCCATGCCGAGAGTTGTAGAGGTTAGAAGAGTTTCCGAATGGTAGTAATTTTGAGGGGAAATATAGGGAACCCCGAATCACCTGGCTTCGTGAATGAACAGGAAGATTCTCTTAAGAAAGGAAGTGAACTGGATAGTTCGGAGTCAGTCCTGAAAGTTGCTGCTGAGAGGCAGCGAGTTGTTCTTGACATAAATAAACCAATGCAAGAGCAAATATGCGAAGTCTTGATTGTTCTTGATGCTTAGTTAAGAAAATGAAACTCCCAACCAGTGGTTGCTAAAGGGTCATACCCAGACTTCCCAAGCAAAAGAAACCGTCAGCTAAGTCTGCACTATTCATTCCCTGAAGCTTGCTGATGCCAGCTAAGCATTCCTCTTATTCAAGAACTTTCGTTGGGAAACAGTGAATTCCCCAGTTGCCACATTGTAGCGAACACATACCCTTTATGAGCATCAGGCCTTTCAATTTCAAAGTCATTAAAGGGGTATGTCTTTTGAGGGAACACTTTCTGCAGAATTTCTGTTGGGGCTTCCCTCGTGTACAGACACGCCCGCATCCCAGGGTCTGGTCATATGGATGGCAGCGGGGTGCCATCCATTCTCATGGAGGCGAATCTCGCGAATCTTGGGATGGGCTGGGTCTTGCTGGGCTAAAGCATCCAAGAGCGCTGTAAAGGGACCTGATCTCGGGGGTTTGATGCCCTTGGGGTTTGAACCACCCTTCTTGGAAGAACCGCCGTGCTAGAAACCTAAGCCGAGTTTCTCGGATTGACGGTCCCAACCCAAGCCTCATGGCCACTTTTGCAGAGATTTTTGGGGATGCGTTTCATGGTGGAGGGTTTTTGTGTTGTTTCGACCGAGCCTCGCATGAGCCATTCAGTCAGGCGACCACTGGAGCTTGCTGCTGAGGACCAAAAGACCAAAACCCAGCATGGCGCTTGCAGAGGATGCCCATGTACCTCTCACTTGGGACATGCCTGGCCAACGGGCCTTCGTTCTGACAAACGAATTCCAGCTGAGCTACCACTAAAGAGGTTCATCTATGAAGGATTCCAGATGTTCCAGTTTGGCACATACGGAGTTTGGGGGTGGCTCAGGTGTCCAGCCAAGTCCAAAGATACGGAGCCATGATTGTTTGAAAGCCTGACACATTGAGCGACAGTGAATCTTGATTGCGTCTTACGCCAGGGAAGTGTTGGATCTGGCAAAACCGACAAACCCCTTCCCGGCTTTCGGGGAGGTTCTTTAGCACGCGCCTTGGACGGAGCAGCGCCAACCTGGCGCCAAAACTCGCAATGCCCGTGGCAAGACCCTTTGTATGTACCCAAGGCAGGTGAACCAGTCAAGTCAAGGCCTTAGGGTCCAAGCAAACTCAGCGATCCAAGCGGAAAATTGAGCGGAAAGCGAGTGGGATCCCAGTGCGGAACGCCGCAAAAGGATCGGTGGGATTCAAACATGAGCGTCAAAGCGGGTCCAGACCTCAAGTAAAGCGGATTCACACGCTTCAGACTTGATTTCGCTCAGTTGGGGAGCAAAGGGCCCGGCACCTCTGACAAAAAAAGCCGCTCTCGGACAGGGCCAAGCGCAGAAGAAGGACGACAAGGAAGAGGGGCGCGGGAGCCCGGATCAAGGGGTAGCAAGAACCACATTTCAACACGGGCCCTAAGACAGAGGACTCAGCCAGGGGGCTTGTCGGTCTGTCATGTGTGTGAGGGGACACTTTTTTTGGGTGGGTTAGTTGAAGAAGCCAAAGGGGGATTCCAAGCTCGTTGGGGGGTCCCCCTAAACCCAAACCCTTACAAACAATTGCACGCGGGGAATTTCAACCCCAAATCTCTTTTTTTTTCGAGTGCAAGAACTGAGGTTTGTCTCAACTTGGGCCGAGTGGAGAGGACTCTGGCTTTGTTGTGTAATGGTATACTCCCTGCTCTGAATACCCACTTTAGGGTATAATTCAACTGTGAAAGATTTCAACTCCTGACTAAAACAAGAGGGGCCCGTGGGAAGCCTTGTTTCGTCCGCAAACCACACCCCATCACGCACGTAAATGGGTATTCTGAGCATGTAGGGCGAGTCTTTCAGATTTATGGAGGCTTCTTCCACCCTAAAACACCAGCCCGAGAATTTGATTCTGGATTCCCATTGTGCCTTCAGGTTTTTTGGGTTTGGTCAAGTTCATGTTGTTCCGGCCACGGACGAACTGACTCAGAGCCCTCGAAGGCGAAGCTCTCTGACAAGCACCATCTTTGTCCACAGGGTTTGCCCCCCCCCCCCCCCCCGACATGTTCCCAGAGGCAGCCTCCGGTTTTGCCTTTCGTTGAGACGAACTTACTCCAAGATTTACCACGCATGATTCTTGGGGTTCCAGGTGAATCTGCTTCCCCAAAGGGAGTCAAGAAACAAATCCTGACCGAACAGACCTGGAGCTGTTTGGGCTTGGTCCAAAATAGGACGCCCCTTTCATCAACTGACAGGCTCGTTGCATGGGAAGGTCGTTTTGCTGGAAAAACCCAGGTGTCGATGACCAACCCTGTGGTTTTGGGGCACCTTGTGCTAAACCATCTCCACACATCTGCAGCTAGAGAACGTTGGATCTCAGCAAAGTTCCACCAGGAACTGGGCAATTTTCGCTGATCTTGAGTGGCAGCAGGGTTCCACGGGTGGGGAGTCGCTTGGCGCGCCAAGTGCCTCGAGGTTCAACTTCTTCACGTGGCTCTTCGGACTCTTCGGTGGAGGTGGGGAGAAGGACAAGGAGTCAGAGAAGAAGGAGGCGCCCTCCCGTGCTTCGGTGTTCGTGTTCCGGGGTTGGGGCTGACCCTGCTGGGTTGCTGGGGGGAACCCCCAGGAATGCGAACAACCAGCGGAGGGCCAATGCGCCGCAAGGCCCGAGACGTTTGCTGAACGGAATGTTTGAAAGAGCCGTTCAATGAGAACCCACGACGCCTTCAGAACCTTGGCCGAGCTTTTTTTTTTGGAGCCAAGCAAGGATCAATCAGTTTCCTCTGTGGCAATGTACGCCATTGGGATCTGGTGTTTTGTTGTCTTCTTGGCCCTGGTTGGTTGGTTGGTTGGTTGGTTGGCTGGCAGCATCCCCGGCATCAGCAGCCTCACTGGGCTTCGGGGCCGTGTATTACCGTACGTTGCCGTACGCCATTGCACGCCTATGGATTGTAGAAATTGGAATCATTGGACGCCGCCAGTCACATCAACCAACTTTTGAGCCGTGGAGAACAATGATTGGAGCTTACCCAAATTCCCCAAGTCGAACGCCCACTGGAACACCACCACCAAACCTGATCTTCTTTTTGAAGGGTGCCCCACAGCTTCTCTTTCTATATTTAAGTCAAGCCAAAGGTGAGCCACCATCAACCCCCCGATACATGAAGGTTAGCAAGGGATGCTCCCAACCATAAATAGCTGCGGATCTCCGGCTTCTTAGTTCTTGATTTGCATGGTTCTGGGCAATTAGACCATTTCAGTAGTGGGTTTTGAGCAAGTGACCCAAGCCGGTTTCCCCGTTTTTCCCCGTTTACCCCAAGGCTTTTTGTTCAAAAGCCACAGGTGAAGCGCTCAGTTCCGCGCAGGCCGAGGTTTGGGACTCCAACATCCCAGGCGCGCGGCGGCGCGAAGGGACCTCCGTGGACTGTGCGCACCGCATTTTTGCGCAGGGCGCCGAAAAAAAGAGAGACTCATTTCGCGACCATTTGAAACCATGGCTGGCTTTTTCAACATCAATTTTGAAGGGAAGCCACAATTTACAAGTGGCAATGTTCAGGTGTATAATGCAAGGATCCCTGTTGTGACATGGGTATGTGTCAACAAAACCCACCAGGAATCGGACCGCAGGTTTTTTTCTTTGCTTCCATTTACTAGCATTCCATTTTGGGTACGCATTTTTGACCCACAGCCACATACATTGTGCATACCATGTATGTCTTCATGTTTCCCAATTGTATATAGAGCCAAATGTGCCTGTTCTCTGTTTTGCTGTCTATGCCCACGGCTATGCGAATGGTTGCGTGTGACAGGATCTGTCAACGGTGCTTGGCAGCAAAACAAAGCCCTTGCGAGGTCAGACAAAAATGCCCAGAAGCGACCAACCAATTGTTCGGTTCCAGGCATCCATGTTGTGGTCACGCTCAGACAGGGTTCCCTGGACAAACACTAAAGACATGAATTCGATTTGAATTGGCTTCAAAGACAATGTGTCAAATCACCCAGGGGTAGTGTTGGACCGCCTGGCAGAATCACATAGCAAGCAGCAGGTTCCGCTGGACGAGTGACTTAAAAAGCCATAGCCAAATAAATCAAGTACTCACGAAGAGAGGGGCATCTCAGCCCACAGCAAAGAATCACTGACAAGAAAGCAAAAAGCTTGGGCATCGGGTCGAGCCTTGTTTGGCCCCTTTGCAAGGAGCACAAAAAAAAAAGCCCCGCGACAATCTAGTTGATTAGCTATTCTCGTGGCAACTGGAAGGACCTCAAACAAACCGGCTTGGGCGCTGGAATCTGGAGATAACCCCCAGCAAGCGCCTCACCTCACACTGCGGACAAAGCACCCAAAATGAACAGTTTACCTAATTCTCTGCTCGAGAAAGGTCTTGTGAATCATCATTTTCATGCCTCATGCAGGTAATAAGAATAGCGGGCTTTCCTGCAATCAATTGGGGGATTCGGTCGTAGAGTCATGATGCCCAATGGTTCTTCTTTTCTATGGCTCTGAATCAGTATTAGATTCACAGCGCATCGAACAACAAGGGTCCCCACCTATTCTTCATGGTTTTGGACCATTTGATGGCTTCATCCACCTCTCCTTTCTGGGTTTTACCCAAAGATGGCTTCGTCCACCTCTCCTTTTTTGGTTTTTTAGCAGACCATTTTGTCCAAAGAATGGGGTTCCCGCCGATCCACCCGCTTTTGACAGCGCATGGCGCAAGTCATTTGGCGCTCGCAGGCGGTAAGTGGAGCGCCGCCGGGTGTCCAAGACTTTCAGGCGCAAAGGCTGAAGGCAGAACTTCCATTTGCGCTGTTGTTGCCCTTTTGTTGGGTTCTCCACTCAAAATGGTGTTTTTGGGTGCGCCTTAAGTAGCGGTACTCAAAAAGTGGTTGACTCGCTTTTGGTGTCCCTTCGTCCGTTGCTGAAATTATTTTATTTGTTTTGTTTCTCTTGTGGGTTTACAGAATCGATTTCACTAGTGGGCATATTTTCTCATCGTTTCCAGGCGGCTTAAGCAAATGGAAGACACCCCCTGATCGGGTGGCCCCTTTTCGGGGGCACCATATTCATAGGAGGGGTTTATTATTCCGGTGTCAGCAGAGCCGACCAGCCTGTACATCTTCGATGCCCGAGAAGAGGTGGATTCTGGCGATTACAAGGGTATCATGAAGCCGCGCGACGGATCTTATTGAAATGGTTCACCGGCAAGTCGTTTCGGGTTAGGGGCTTTTTGGTTGAGGTACGGCGCACACCACGCACCATTTTTCCGACAATCATCTAAGTGGACCGGGGGCCATTTCAAGAGCAGTGTATTCTTCCGAAATGCTTCTGTCAAGTTCATGCTGTTGCACAGAAAACCGAAGAAACAGAAGCTCAGAGAGGTGCCAGGAAGATGCCTGACCGGGCAAGGTCGGAAAGTGCGGGAAATAAAAACAGCAACTGACAATACGATTGGTAGTCTTTTGTTGGTTTCGGGGAATACAAGAAGGGTGGCACTCAAATTCCTCACAACATGGGGGAGGAGGCAGTTTTTCCAATGTCCTCGCGGCGGTTGTAATCTAGTGCGGGGCTCATATGACAATATCCTGTGCCAGGTGGAATGCGCAGCTCCAAAAGAACGCACATCAACTCAAATCATGCGTTTGATTTGGTTTGAGTGTCTGCTCCTTAATTTGTTGTTGCTCTTTGATTTGTTTGTTTGCTGTTTTCTCTTTGCCGTAGAAACTCGACCAATAAGGGCGAGAGTGAGTTTGACATCTGCTCCGTAATGCCGACTGGAGGGACACCCCCCGGTCAAAATCAACCTCACTAGTGAACATTTTGCAGCGTGCTCATTGCGATGAATCGGGGGCCAAAGAATTCCAAATAGTTTTAACACTACTGTGGAAGGACACAATCCCGCACTTTAGTAAGTGGTTTACCCATGTTTATCCTGCAATTCATAGGGGTTTCTCATTTTTCATCCATCCCAGCTGCTGCGAAGTGGATTTTGCCCATCCGCAGCATGACTTTGGGTTTGAAAGTATCCGGCCCGCATCGCCGAAATCCCGAAGTCGCCGGCCCCCAAAATTAATCAGAGGGATGAACAGTCCGGGAAGCGGCTTCGGCCTTGCCTATGAGCTCTTTGGGGTTGCCTCACAATGGGAGCCCCTTTTGGCTGCAAGGAGAGAGAGAGAGAGAGAGAGAGAGAGAGGCAAAAGGAATCTGTTGCAAAACCAATTGCGATTCCTTTTTTTGAACCCATGGATAACATATGTGGACCCGTTTCCGGTTTTCGGGGCCGGGCCTGGGACAGTTCCTAAGGCAAACAGCGCTCTTCTCTCAGGAAGTTGGCTTGTGATTTTTAGAGGGACCCCTTTTGGATGGTTTTAAGGCGAAAGGACATGGACATACACATTGTTGGGGGGGGGGGCTCCGATTCCTATTTTGACAAAACAATTGGTTTATACCCATGGGGTTGGTGACAGGCCTCTCCCCCAGCTGAGGATGACAAGGATGGCGCCTCCGGGACAACCAGAACCACCACCACCGTGGAGCGAACATTTTCGTCGGAAGCCGTCTGATGGGACACTGTCCTTTTTGAAGGGTCCCTTTGGGTAAGTTTAAAGGGACACCAAGTGGAACGACTCAATTTATATACATATATATATATATATGGGGGGAGTTCCCCATTTTGACTGAGGCAGCCCAAAGACGCCAGCCGGACGGCGATGGATTTGAATAGGAACGTTTTGAAAGCGGTTGGTGGATGGGAAGGATATCCACCAAAGAGTCCCTAGCTAGGATTCTCATGCTCAGATGGGATTCATGCAAAACCCGCCGAAGGGTAAGGCTTTATTTGGAATGGTTCTTAAGATTATTACGCAGTTTATAAACTACATTACATTTGTGGTTTATTGGGGAGTGGCTAACCCCTGCTGGGGAAGGGGGTGAATGGATCTCGGATGGGTTGGCTCAAGAGCTAGCACAAAACTAGCAAATCAGGATGTCCATTTTCCCTTCATGGGGATTGCCGTTTCAGAACCCTGGTGCTAATGCTTTTTGGAAGCTGCAGGTCAAGAGATGGAGTTTGGTTCATGCGGGATCCCGCACAGGCCTGTTGAATCTGCCCAACTCATTGGGAAGGCCACGGTTTTCAGTGGCATTCTGGGACCACATGGGGTCCGTTGTCCCTTGATTTCTGATTTGAGTCCACAACACCTTTGTAATCCATGGGTTTCATTTTTGTTCTTCGTTTCTTCCAACTGGCAACATGGGGTCCGTTGTCTATGGGTTTCAAAATTCAGAGTTTTCGAAATGCACTAGAGCTTGGACGCATCTCCTAGCGCTTCTCAAAAAAGATGGGAAACACCCGCCAGGCATGCCCAGCTTTCAGAACGTCTTGGGAAACACCCGTCATTTTGAGGCGTGAAACCCCGCGTTCCCTGGGTTTCCCCCCGGATTTTAGGCGTCACTTGGAACACATGGGTCATATGTCCGATTGTATGGTCCAACCACGCCTGGGTTGGCAGGGATGGTCAACCCCGGGATTTTTTACTCCTTACCAAGTGGGCCCAACATAGGGGGTGGCGGCTTTTCTTTGGGTCCCCAAAAACCCAAGCAACGAACGAGAAACCCGGCCAAAGCAAAATTGCAGGCTTGATTATCCCTTCGTCGTCAAGTAACTTGGTCTACCTAGGGAATTTCTGGTGGGTCCTATGGCACCGTGGACAGGAGGGTACCATGTCTCTCATTAAGCAGGGTTGACTCATGTGGGTCTGTTCTTTTGAAGGAACCCCGCCCCCACAAAAAGAACACAAGAACCACATTTGGCAAGCCACCGGTGAGGAGCCCCGCCAAAAAATGGCAACATTTGGGTGTGGCTCAAAATTAAACAGGAGGGGTTACGCAGGTTTTGGTCACTGTTTCCACTTACCAGGGTTCCATTTTATTTTGGTACCGGTTTTTTGAGCCACAGCCATTTCTGTTTTCTGGGCGGTTTCTCCGTTTGGCCCAACCAAAACTTTAGGGGGTCGGATCCGTACGCGAGAGCCAGGAGCAGTGCAACCGGGACCGGTGCCTTAGCGAGGCACAGCCCCACAAGTCCACCAGGCTGGCAGTCGGGGGGGGGACATCGGGACATCCTCACTTCCTGGGCTGAGGGACTTTTCAGCTTTTTGGGAAGGCAATGTTTGTCTCAGTTGTTCAGTGACACCAATTCCTTTTCCCCCTTCTTTTTGGTGGCCCCACTAAAAATGGTCTTCCCCCAACAAAGTTTCCAGGGTTACTGAACAACTGAGTAGTGGTAAATACAAAGTTCAGAGTTTAGGGATTTGAACCCGGAAACGGATTTTGGCGCTGGTTTTGGGCCTTTGCTCGCCACAATCCGCGGCGTAGTACCTTCGTTCCCTGTCAGAAAGCATCCGGCATCCCCTTGTCAGCTTCGGGGATGTGGGGCGGTAGATGCAGGACTGTAGATGTTTGGGGTTTTTGAGAAAAAAACACCAACTACATGGGTTCTAGTTTGCATAGGGCAACATGGCCCGTGGCACAATGGTGCGCCCGAAAGCGCAGATGGGTTGAATCAGCATGCAGGGGGGGTCGGCGCCCATGACGTTTTAGTTCACAAGGTTGCGTGCGCAAAGTGCTGCAGATGACTTTTAGCATCTTAAGCAGCGCCCTCTCCGGTTGTTTGAAAGATTGGTCGGCTTGTAGGCCTCGAACCCCTGGATGCCTGTCATCGGATTTGGTCGAATCTCATCTCCCTGTGGTCAAACACGACAGTTGGTGCAACACTTTTTGAGCATCCAGAATTATCCTGATCCTTCTTCAACCAACCATATGTACATATACATATATATATATATATACATATTTAACTGGAGCCAAAAGGAGGATGTTCAAACACTACAAGGGGTTGAATCGCGCAAGCCTGTTCAAACTCCTACTGGTGACGCTTGAGATTCGCATGTTGCCGTCGATGGCATATTTTTTTCCTTCAAAGGGACACTCCCCAAAATGGAAACTACCCCCTTGGCCTTCCATCAAAAGAAAGGGCCCAAATGGTACCATCAGATTGTGTTGCGTTGACAGGACTTGAAGCAGAGAGGGTCGTGTTGAGGTGTCAGTTGGGTGCAAATATTTTCCAAAAGGTAGCCTCCCTCTGGCGATTGTGGAAGTTGCAAGGAGAGTTTTGGAGTTTTGGGCCCCCTGTCCATTTCCACGATTTTTGGAACGAAGGTAACCCAAAAAGGGGGGTTCGATCCGCAACAGTTAAACACACGTGCACAGGGTGTTTTAGGGTTCGTGTGGGTCAGAGGGTGCCCTTTGGGGGAGGTTGCTTCTTCCTGAATACTATCCGGACTATTCGTCACTATTAGTCACCCGTCATTATTAGATTGCAGAGGGGTTCCCAAACTTCTCAGAGCCAGGCCGCTAGATGTGGGCACGGATTGAATAGGCAGCCAAAAGGAAGCCAACCATATTCCTTTCATTGACACGGGCCTTTGGGGCTTTTAGGCTTTTTTTTGTCTTTGGCGCTCGAAAAACAAACCCGAAAAACACACCAGCACGCAAAGCAACACCACGCGGCTGTGTGTCGGCAACTGGGAGTCGTTCCGCGAGAGCAGGAAGAGGTCCAATTAGGTGTTCTTTAGTCAAAAAACTGATGCCTCAAGTGTGTTGTGGGTTGTGGGTCTGTAGGGTTTTTCTCCTTTGACAGAAGGTTCAGGAATGGGCCTTGCAGCTTTCTCCAACCACATTTGTCGACATGTGTGGTGTTGGTTTCCTCTGACATGACTTCTTTGGATTGCAGCCAGGTATCACTACATCATCAACCACAAGGACACGCCGTGGCCGGTCAGGTCGCCGATGTTCGAGAACCTTTTTGGAACCCCAACAGCAGGGCCCGTGGATTCGAACCATTTCTCTTGAGCCGGAAGGGGGTCCAAAGTTTAGACCTGGCGACCGTGACCTTTCCGTTTTTCGGCAGCCCAGAAGAAAGAACAGGTATTCCCGGAACCAACCCCACAAACCCGGCGCCTTGGCCCAAAAAAAAGGAAGCCGCTCGGCTTCCAGCGGTATCGATCGGCCCGAGAACCAACCCCACGCTGTTGACCCGGAGGGCGTAGGCAAGTGGAAAGGGCGCTGAGCCCAAGGGGACTGTTCAGAGCAACTTATTTATGTTGTCCAGTATGTAGGGGACTCTTCAATATCATAGTTTATGTGTATACGTCTTTTTCGGGGCCCTTGTTTAATTACCACGCTGGGACTTCTTTTTCATGCGAACAACCAGCTTCAGCGCAGGATGTCTTCAAGATGGAGATCTACAACGACGGCCCCTTCTACACCAGCTTTTATGTCTATGAGGATCGGGCAGAAAGCTAAGATTTCTTTGGGGGGGGCTCCTTGAGGATGAGCCCAAGTGAGCCACAATCAAAGCCTGGGTAGATGAAGGTTAGTAAGGGGCAGTCCCAGCCGGAAATAGTTGCGGCCGCCTTCCTAATTCTTTACATGGGTCTGGGATTACGACCATTTTCGTACCGGGTTTTGAGCAAGTGTCTCAAGTGCCAAGCGGGCCGGAGCTGTTGCAGTGCTCGACAGTGGCATCTCGATTGGGGAGGCCCAAAAAACTCGGATGGGTGGCTTGTCGTTTTTTGAGGGTACCACAGTGTTGGCAGGTTGTAAAGGGAGACCAAGAGGAACACCACCCTTCTTGCGGGGGTGCCCGCGAGACTCTGAGACACATGGCTGTGGGTCAAAAATAGGTACCCAAAATGGAGCCCTGGTAAATGGGAACATGGACTAAAACCTGCGGTCCCCTGGTGGTTTAATTTTGACCCATACCCACATATTCCGCCAAGCAAAGTCACGAATCAGGCATTCCTTGCCGACAGAGGAGCAAAGCTTGGGTGTTTCAACTGGAATTGTTTTGGGATGGCGGGGTTTGCCTTTTGTGACGCCCCAAGCCCCTAAGGAATAACCAGAAAGCCGGTTGTTCAATGGCAGCCTTGCATTCCCTTTCTGCGTGGGCTTTCCACTAAAAATGGAATCAACCCCAGAAAGGATTAGTGCACCCTTTTCTACACGGGTCACTGGTGGGGGGACTGGGGTAAAGGGAGTCTCCTCACCTGATGTGTTGTCGGAAGTGGACACACCTTGCCATTGGCACTGCGGTGGTTTACCCATTATTTTGGGCTCTCCCAGTTTCCTTCTGATCTATGCAAGGTGGTAAAGCCACGTATTGGTTTCCTTGAAAGTTGGCATGATCTTTCTTTTGCGGTGTGTGTGTGTGTGTGTTTGCCCGTTGTCTGCTGTGTTTTTCGGTTTGAGTTCGAAGCAGTGCCCAGGTTTCTTGGCGCCACAGTTTTGCGGGGCCGGCTGGCAATTGTTTTCGGCTGAGTTTTTTTGGATTTGTGCGTGGGTCGGTTTTGGAGGTTTGGTTCAATTCGGCTTAGTTTTGGATTTGTGTGTGGGTCGGTTTTGTAGGTTTCGTTCTTTTTCCTCTTTTATTGTGGAGGTTTGTTTCCCGTTCGTTTTGCTTTTTTGTTGTGGAGGTTTTGCAGAAGAGCTCGGTTTCAGGACTTCACCTGGTTCTTCCAGCCACTGCCCGAGTCGAGCGACTCCAATCGACTCGCGCGTCATGAGTCGCTCCCAACCGCGAGGCTGTTTGGTTTGTTTCTCCAGGTTTGGTTTTGGTTTGTTTCTTTTGGTTTGGTGGCTGTGGCTTTGGCTTGGTTCGTTTGCCAGTTTTGGGCCTCTAGCTTTGGAAGGCCCTCCCACTGTCGCGCAGAAAAAGGGGCAAATATGGGAGGTGCGACGTGCCAGTGGCACGATGAACCCAAGTGGGTGTAGGCAAGCAGGGTTTGTCTTTTTGGTGTGTGTGTGTGTGGGGTGGGAGTGACATTTTACGAACATCTCGCTTGAGATTTCGCACATGCGCAGTATCTGATCAAACCAGACGACTATTAGACAGCCTCCTACGAGGCTTTGGCTGTCTGGAACACCCTCCGAAGCCCAAGGAGTGTAACCATGGGCGGAGTTTTTTTTCTTCTTTTTTTTTTCTTCGAGGCCACCCTTTTGTGGGGCTTGGCTTCTCCTATGAGACCAAACCAATAGTCAACTTTCCTCGAGCCTCGCCGGGGCTGACCAAACGCACCGACGTTGATGTCGTTTCGGGGTGTGGGTTGAACTGTTGAGCTACCTGGCATGGTTCAAAAAAAAAGAAAGGCCTCCTAAAAAGCAAGCAAACCATGGCAGTGTTTTAGGGTACCAGTTTGAAAGCGGAGACCAACAGTTTACGCAACAGTTGCCCGCTTTTTCGAAAACACCAAAGTGTTTCGGTAGAAACCCACAAGCTTTTTAGCTTCTTTCCAGGGCTCCAGAAAGCCGCCAGGGCCGCCAGGGGAAGGGATGGCTGCAAAGGGGAAAGGCGGAACACCCAGCCTCTCCGTTTGCCTCAAAAGGGAGTGCCGGTCTTTTGCCTGAGGTTCTGGCCAGAGCAGGCCTACAACTACCAGTGGGGCAGCATGCAGGCGGATTGCTGGAAGTTTGAGTGAAGAGTAAACTGCGGAAGGCAGAAGCCCCCAGCGCCCAGTTTCTTATTTGTATGTTGTCCCATTGATTCCATTTATTTGGGTGTTGTGGGCAACAATGGGAACCACCCTAAGCGAAATGGAAAATGGATCGAAGGGCTACCTTATGCTGGCAACTAGGATCCATTGGAATGTTTTCCGAGGATTTTGAATGCTACTTGGACTTACTGCTCACTTTCCAAGCCGGCTGGTCATCCACGTAACCGAGCACGGGCCGAGCCTATCTTTGTGTCCGGCCGGGTTTGGCGGAACCTGCTGGCCTGCGAAAGGTGCGGGACCCAACAAGATTCCGAAGGCATCCCGGACCACAGACCCACCAAACTTGGTGGCTCCCAGTTATCCGGTTCCTTAGCCTTTTTAGATCCTTTTAGTGTTTAGTGGTAGTTTAACCATTCCTAAGCCACTAAGAGTCAAGCTCACTTTTAGCGGGAGATCTGAAACCAGCCCAGCAAAATTGGTGATTTTCGTCTTCCCGGAGGCGTGGTTTGGAACAGGGGAAGGTGTGAGGTGGTCCCCTTCAGAGGGGGGAAGGTGTGAGCACCCATGACCCACAAAAAAGCAGCTGGGTTCATTAGATTCCCAGCAAAGGCGCGTTGACACTCCATGCCAAACAAGTTGGGTCCATCCGATTTTCCTTTCTAGTGCTTCCTCGTTTCCATATTCTTCGCGGCTCGGCCGATTTTTTTTTTTAGCATTGGGTAACGGCAGGAAGGTTCTGGCCCGGTTTCCTTCTACCCTGTGGCTTGACCGCTATTGGGCAACGGATTCTTAGACTTGAACTTTTTGGTTAAAATCAAGTTGGGTTTTCCATGAAACCTTCAAAGAGTGATACACTTTTTGCAGGGGGTCGTTACAGCAACCAAGGTGGTGTCAACTCTACATCAAGGAAGGGAAGTGTATGTATATATATATATATATGTATGCAGAATTCCGTTGTGTGCGGGGATGTTCTTTGAGGGTACGCTTTCCAGGTTGGTCTGAAGGGAGACAATGAGGATCAACGGGACCCCGGGCTTTCGTGTGCGACGGATCGCCAGGGCGGCCATGCCGTGGTGCTCATCGGCTGGGAGAGCAGCTGCACCTACCACGGGGACGCTGGGCCGTTGGGCCGGGCTGCGGGGGGAAGGTGCTGCGAGTCCGAAGCAGCCCCTCTTCGGCTTCGTCGGAAAGGGAACCCCCCGGTTTGAGACATTCGTGTTCTTTTGTTTTGCTTTTTTTTGGGGAGGGGGGGGGAGTTCGGAATTTCGAAGGGGGTCCGCAACCACAACCCGATCTTTGAATAACCCATCCCATGTCTCATTCCAAGGTCCTTGTCCAGTGATTCGCTTGACCCTTGCATTCCCATACCTATCAGGGACCTTGAGTTTGACCTGATGTGAGGTGAGGCAAGGCGAGCCATGCACGAGTGTCCCAGACCGAATGCCTCTGCCAGAGGCTCGGCAGGTTTCTACAGTTGTTCTGACGGTCGTTCTTTTGGCTGTCTATAACAATTATCAAAGATCACTACTGGGGTTGTTTTCTCTTTCAGCTACCACTCACTGGTGACTTTGTCGGTCCACGTAGTTTCTTGGTCTTGCTGAACTCAATGCTTCCTTGGCGAATTTCACTGCTGCGTGGACCAAACACGTGGGCAGTGAAAATCCCAAGGGCATTCCAGGCACGCCGTGGCGATCCATCCGTTCCGCTCCGGATCTCGGCTCGATGCGATGGCTTCGGCTAGCAGCGGGGTTGGTCTTCTGTGCGCAACTGTCTTCGCGCCGGGCTCGGGGCTTTGCTAGGTCCCCCAGTGCCCTTTTACCGTTTCTTTTTTGGGGGAGGGTTTTTTTCTACTAGAATGGACTACCGAAAAAAAGGGTACCCTTATTCATCTAACCTCTCTACTGGAGGACCTAGTTTGGGATCCACGGGGCCGGTTGCGGTTGCGGTTCGATTCGAGGCGGCACTCGGGAGTGTCCCTTAGGATGATGAGGTGCTCCCGGGCTGGAGCTTGACATCAAATCGCGTGCTTTTCGGCCTGGCTCCAAACTTGCTTTGTTTTGCCAGGATTCAAAAAGCCAGAGCCATATCCAATCCAGGGTCAGTAGTTTTGGGTTTGTTTCAGCCTGAAGCATGTGCTGAGCCCCCAGACCTGGGGAATTAAGGCTTCAACACCGGGAGTTTCACCCTATCTTGTTCCCGGTCCCGGTACGTTGAGGACTCGTCAGCCTCGTACTGCACATGGAGTAATTCGCCCAAACACGTGGGCCTATTGAGATTCTGGCAAGGGTTGCTTGTGCGAGATCAAGCACATGCCGGAGAGTGGTGGGGACTTCAAGCAGTTTGAAGTCTTCGTCTTGTTGCTCTTTTTGGCCCGAAGGCATCCCCCCACTTTGGATGCAATCAAGGGCACGCCGGCCAGTGCTGCAGTTGAAGAGAAAGTTGCCACCAAGCGTGGGGCCAGCAAGTTCTCAGTGACGAAGATTTGCAGCAAAGGGGCCCAGTAAAGGGAGCTCGTGATGAATGGCGAGTTCCTCTCGAGGACACCGTGTGGTCAGAGGACTTCATAATGTCGGCAATCATGTCATAGACTGGTGTCTTGGTTTATCTTTAAGGGAGACCAAAGGGAAGCAACTCATTTTGAAGGTTCACACTTTTTGATACATGTCCCCTGCCACCATTTTGGAAACTGGACTTGCAACCAGCAGGCAAGGCAACGTGTCCTTTGGGGAGCTATAATTCCTTTCATAGAGGTTTTTTTCCTTGTGGATGTTGTTTCTTATTCACGCGGATCAATCCACTGAATGAAGGTCACTCAGTACTTGCATTGCTTCAGTGCACATCAAACCTTTGCAAAAGGAGGGCGTGTCTTGTTTCACTCTTCGGGAGGGGCTCTACGGGTTGATGTTTCACTCTCTTCGCCCATGGTGTGTTCTAAATCTTCGTTTTTTTTGGATTTGGGTTGCCGCCTTCTCAACAGAGTTTACATATTCTCTTCGACGGTGAGATTTAGTGCCTTAGCTCTCAACGCCGAGACGTCGAGGGAGTGAGGCATTCAAGTTCCGCGCGCTGCCATCAAAGTCAGCTCTCTGCTGCCAAAAACGCACGAAGAATCACACACCAAACAAGACCGAAAGCGCGTTGTTGCTTGCTAGGTCCCCCAGTAGTGCCCCCTTTTACCCTTTTTTAGTAGGGAGGGTTCCCCTACTAAAGTAGACTACACAAAAAATGGTACCCTGATTCTAACCTCTCCACTGGGGGACCTAGTCAAAGTCAGCTCTCTTCTGCCAAAAACGCACAAAGAATCACACACCAAACAAGACCCAAAGCGCGCGCTGTTGCTTGGCTGCTTCTTTGGTACGGCCTGGGCATAGCCGCGACTCAGGTTTTACCATGCCTTCGATGCTCCAGGAGTGCTGGGATGTGCCTGGGGGCCCAAAGGATGCGGCGCACCACTGCCAGCAGATGAGAAACCCCGAAGCAGGCGGCCCATTGAAGGGGTTCCCTGACCAAGGTTATCAGACTCGGATTGAACGGGTTCTAGTAAACCGGGTCCGATTGAAGGTTTGCATCCGAGTTGGGAGCTCATCATCTTGTGCAAGGTCGCAAGGCGAGCTGGGAGTTTCCTGTGTTAGCTTGCACGGGACTTTTTTAACCTTGCGTTTTCATTCAAACAACCAAAAGGGAGTCCCGACTTTGTCGCCCTGAGCCGAACGATGAGCACAGAAGGCAATGCTCAGTCTTGGGGCCAGGTGAGCAGCTCACTTATCTGACCTGTTTGGGTAGATGCGGTTTCCTTTCGGCTTCCCTTTGAAGCCAACAAAGGGTTCCCCATTGAAACACCCAGATGTTTCTTGCTGGTCCTTTTCCCTTCGACCTTCATTGAATTTTCGGTTTTGACGACTTTGGAGCAATCCAATCACGGAAAGCCCTTGGATTCTTTGGCATTGGCTTCGGGTATCACTTGATATGTGTCCCATTGAGCACGAAACTCGGTGGTCTTCTTGCGCCGTTCGACCTCTGAACCGCATGGCAAACAAAATGCACCACGATGTCCACGGAATTCTGGTGCTACCTTCCCCATTCTTTCCAGGGATCCGGATCTTTCTAGAAAACCTCCGGAAACCCATGGAAACCGATCCGGTTTTCGAACAAAACGATGGTTGGAAAGAATGGAAACGGAATCGACCCCTTGAAAATTGGGTAGAAGGACTATGCCTGGTTCCCTTTAAAGGTTGGCATACTGCCATAGCCCCTGGTTCCCTAAAGGAAGACCAAAAGGAGGTTTGTCAATGAACAGCGGCTTGAACAAGAATGGTGCAAGCTTCTGCCGCGGCGGACAGGTGCCGGTCCATAGACATCGGTCTATGGCCAATGTGCGGGGGGATTTTGGGACTGAGCCCGTTCCATGGCCTCTACTCGCATTCCTTTCAAACTTAAACCACCTGTGTATTGCTCATCGAGTTTTTGCAATCAGCCTGTTGGTGAAGCCTTTATCACATTGCCGCAGACATGTTTTGCTGAAAGTTGTTGTCCAGTTGGCCCATGTCAAGTTCAGTTGATCTGTTCATACGGGCTGCACATAACAGTGCGCTTTTTGCTGGGGAAGTTCAAGCTTTTGAAGAAGGGCCCGTGCACATGAGGCTTCCGCGAACTATGCACTCGCAGAGATCGGGGGAGTTGTCGTGATGGAGGTGCTGTTGTTTCGCGGGACCCTTTGTTTTCAAGGGAAGACTCAAAGAGCAACATGTTTGGGGGTCCCGATTTCCAGACACCTCCGCCCACTCGTCTCAAGCAAGGGAACGGCCTACGCGTTCCATGGAGCCTCATCGACCGGGGGTGCGCGTTTGGAGCGGGGATGTGTTGTCCGGTCGGAGCGCTCTGAGGGATGCAGCCACTGCCTGGCCGGGAACCCGGGAAACCAAAAAAACAAAACGGGATTCCACCCCTTGCCTTGCGCCGCACGTGGCAAAGAGGCCTTGGGAAGGGGGTTGTCCCCCCCTTTTAATGGGGTTTGTCACTGTTGGATGGAACACCCCTCATTAATAGGACGCGGGGCAACATGACTTGCTTGCGAATCGACCTTACTTTTCGGTTTCGCTTGGTGTCCATTAGTCAGGGTTCTAGACAAACTTTTGGGGTTTTCAAAACTTTAGTTTGTAATACGAAACAAATCCTCGAGGACCAGTTCTGTTGCCGCTATGTTTTGGGGTCTGTCACACAGGCGAAGCTTTTTGGATCGTAAAGGGAACCTTGAATTCAAAACTTTTTGTTCAGCAACACCACATTTCCAGGTCCTTGCAAAGCCGAACACTAGGCGGAAATCATCAAACAGGCCCAACCCATCGCTGGTACATGTGGCCGTGTCTTTTTTGGGGTTTGTACCCCTGTTTGGGTTATTTAAATCTGTTCAGGGAGCCAAAGGGAAACCGACATCCATTTTTGGGGAGCTCCAAGTGCAGGAGTCAGGCAGGCAGTGCTGTTGGACATCTGCTGGTGTTACCTCAGAATCTTCTTCTCGACTCGGACCCCGGGTGTTTGTTTTTGCGTGGCAAGACTTGAGAGTCATCGCCCTCACTACCAATATACTCCCGGTGGCATACACCGCAAAGGTCTACCAGATCGGCGCTGGTCGTCCTTAGCGGCGCAGTGGCAACTGAAGATGCCAGAGGCACCCATGTTGGGTTTTTTGCTCCATGATCTTGGCAAGACCAAGGGCATGGCTGGAGAGGGGAGAAGCAGTGTCCATTGAAGATGGACTCCATTCGGCTTCAAAAAACATGGACAAGCAGGTATTGGCCAAATTAAACCATCAGGGGACCTGTCTCCATTCCCTTTTTGGGTCCCACAACCAAGCGGCATTGGGTCCTCTTCTTTTGGGACCAACTTATCTCTCTCCACTCTCTCTCGCTCTCTCTCTCTCTCTCTCTCTCTCTCTCTCTCTCTCTCTCTCTCTCTCTCTCTCTCTCTCTCTCTCTCTCTCTCTCTCTCTCTCTCTCTCTCTCTCTCTCTCTCTCTCTCTCTCTCTCTCTCTCTCTCTCTCTCTCTCTCGCCCTCTCTCTCCCGGTTTGCCGCCCTCGCTCCCTCCCTCTCCCTCTCCCTCTCCCTCTCCCTCTCT